TTATTTGTATCACTGCGATAACATTTGGACGAGCCATTTGAACCAACATACCTACATTGATCGGCTCTCTGTTTATATTACAGTATATGCGCTACTCAAATTTCTTAGCATTTAAGTCGATTGTACAAATTGTTTTCAGCTTAATTGAATTGAAATACATAAAATGCGAAGTATATTATCAACATAATTCAAAATTGACAATATTTTAAAATCGTTTAAAATACTTGCACGAAAAAATTGCACTTGTTAATCATTTCAATTTCGTTCGATTACTTTTCAATGTAATCAACAACAAACCGTGTGCAAAAAAAGTGATTGACTGAAAAGTGACAGTCGAAATCAACTGAAAATGATTTTTTTTTAATTGTAGCTGTTTATCCAGTTGACTATAGTCGTATATTTATCTGATTCCGAACACAAAACTAATTTGGGACGATAGATAGCTCTAGTCAACTGTGATTGAAGTTGATTTGACTTATATTTTTCTGTACTGAAATCGATTGAAACGTCAAACAAATCAACTTTACAGTACTGCTCAAAAGTATTAGAACAAAAATAAAAAATACATTTTTTTTTATATATTACATCATTTATTAAAATAAAATGTATTTTTTTTTTTATATTTTGTTCTAATATTTTTGAGCAGTACTGTAAATAACTTCAATCTCAGTTGACTTAAGTCGATAACGCCCAAAATTAGGTAACTAATTAGTTAGTCAATAATTTTGTACATTAAGTAACATAATCTCAGATTTATCATTGGATTGGGCTTAATTTAATTTCCAGATAAAATAGTTTTGGCCAAGAAGTTGATTGAAATAGAGGCTAATGTTAGTGCAGAAGATAAGGATAAACAAACGCCGCTCCATCTAGCTTCGGACAAAGGTAATAGTCCAAACTATCGAGCGAAACTACGAATTCATTTTAAAGTTTGACTTTTTAATTTCCAGGTTGGATGGATGTGGCCGAACTTCTTATCAATCGTGGAGCTAATGTTAACTCAGAAGATAAAAATAAAGAGACGCCGCTTCATGTAGCTGTAGGAAATGGTAATAGTGTTATGGCAATATGTGTATACTATAAAGTTCATAATCCAAAAAAATCCGATAAATATATGCTTTGACTTCCAGGTATGAAGGATACGGTTGAACTTCTCATCAAGTATGGGGCTAATATTAATGCAGAAGACAAAGATAAACAAACGCCACTACACGAAGCTGTAAGAAAAGGTGATAGTCCAAATTATTTAATGGAACTATGGATTCTTTATAATATTTGATTCCTTGCTTTCAAGATCGGATCGATTTGGTAAAACTTTTTATCAATCATGGGGCTAATATTAATGCAGAAGATAACGATAAACGGACGCCGCTACATGAAGCTGCACAAAATTGTAATAGCCCAAATTATCTAGTGGGCTCTATGAATTTTTTTCGCTAGACTTTTGGTCGCGGCGACCAAAAAACAGTTTTAGCAAAGAAAAATAGTCGCTACAATATAGAATTTTGGTCGCGACGAGAAATATAAGGGCGCGATCAAAATTCCCGCAGCTAAAATTCATAGAGCCGAAATATGCATTTTTTAATGTTTGATTCTTTGCTTTCCAGATGGGATTAAAATGACCACATTTCTTATCAGTCATGGGGCTAATATAAGTGCGGAAGATAAAGATAAAAAAACGCCGCTCCATGAATGTGCTGCTTCAATATTTGGTAATAGTCCAAATTACATAGAGGAACGATGAAATCCTTTTAATTTTTGAATTCTTTTTAACATTTGATTCTTTGCTTTCCAGGTCGGAAGAATTCGACTGAACTTCTCATCAATCGTGGTGCTAATATGAATGCAGAAGATAAAGATAAACAAACGCCGCTACATGTAGCTGCAAAATGGGGTAAATGTACAAGCTATCGAGTGGAACTATGAATTCCTTTCTAATATTTTGATTCTTTGTTTTCCAGATCGAAAGAAAATGGCTGAACTTCTAATTAATTGGACAGAAAATGAAGATAAACTCAATAATGAGACTAATATTAATGCAGAACAATTGGCGCTTTTTGTAGCTGTAGAAAATGGTAATATTGCAAATTATTTTGTCGAACTATGAATTTCATTCAATTATTATTTATTCATTCACGATTAAGTAATATCAAATGGTCTCATTTAATGTTTGATTCTTTGTTTTCCAGCTCACAAGGAAATGGTAAAACTTCTCATCAGTCGTGGGGCTAATATTAATGCAGAAGATAAAGATAAACAAACGCCACTACATGTAGCTGCAAGAATGGGTAATGTAGTGTAAACTTTTGAGTGGAACTATGAATTCCTTTTAATATTTTATTCATTGACTTCCAGGTAATAAGAAGGTGGCTGAACTTCTCATCAGTCATGGGGCTAATATTAATGCAGAAGATAAAGATAAAGAGACGCCTATATCAAAAGCTACAAAAAACGGTAATAGTGCAAACTATCGACTTGAACTATGAATTTCTTTTAATATTTAATTCTTTGCTTTCCAGGTCAGAAGGAAATGGCTGAACTTCTCATCAATCATGGGGCTAATATTATTAATGCAATTGATAAAGATGAACAAACGCCGCTCCATGTAGATGCACAAAGTGGTAATTAAAAATGGAACTTTGAATTCCTTTTAATATATGATTCTTTGATTTCCAGGTTGGAAGAGTGTTGTTGAATTTCTCATCAATCTAGTGGTTAATATTAATACGGAGCATCAAGATAAGAGAACGCCGCATGTAGCTGCGAAATATGGTAATTCATAAATTCAATTATATATATAGAATTGCTTTCAATCACGCACACCAATTGATTTCTGTTTAAGTGGTTTCGTTACTTATGTATTACTGACAGAAATATTTGGTGTACAAACATCAAACAGTTGTAGACGGTTGTAGATTTCTGTTTTTGCACACTTATTCAAACTTTTCACGTGTAAAAACAAAAACAAATAGAGCTTGTCGAACATAAATGGAAAAGCAACCGCATTCAAATATAGGCGAATGATAAATCCTCTTACATAGCAACCCAATTTATGTAAGTGTCAAGGACAAAATCTGTAATATCATGAAACTCAGATTGTTTTTTTTCTTCTTCTGTGTAATTTTTCTTCTACCTATCTCTTGCTTTTATTTCAAATGTTTGTTTTCGTTTTTTTTTTTTGCTTTTTTAAGCGATATGTGACGATGCCAAAGGGAATTCGAAAACGTTACTTTACATTTACGTACATAAGTAGTAATTTTTCGTTTTATTCGAATCGCACACAAAACACACACAACTTTACTTTTGTTTTAGAGCCTTTTCATAGGACAAGTATAGTTGTCAGACATTGAATGGCGCTGTATCTATCCTATAAACATCGAACTAATGAAAATGTGTGGTGGTTCATGTCTTATTTAATATACAATAGTGGAAATTTATCCAATGCACAAACCATTTCTTCTAGTTCCTCACCATTTCTTCTAGTTCCTCTTACATTAGCGTAGGGGGATTCTTCTAAAGTTCAGAGAATGACGTTTGCATATAAATACATATAAAAGACACTTTTAGGCTCGTCCTATGAGCCTTTTGCACTTATACATTAATTGTAGCTGGCGGGCAATTAGAAATCATTATATTTTGTACGCATCGCTAAAATTTAGAGTGATTGAACGCATGAAATTGGGAAATGTATAAATAAAAATTTGAATTTTTCCACAAATATTTGTGATTGCAGTTTGTGGAAAACGTATGTATCCACAGCCAAGGATTGTCGGTGGTTCGGAAGCACCATTTGGAAAGTGGCCATGGCAAATATCATTGTGTCATTGGAAATATGCAAATATCTATGAACATAAATGCGGTGCAACATTACTCAACGAGAATTGGGCCATTACCGCTGCTCATTGTGTTAATAAGTAAGTGTTGATTTTACCTTTTTTTAATTTTCATTGGAAATTTTGAAAAATCGGAACCAAAACCATAGTCTCATGGGGCGAATCGCGCTAGTGAATACTAGAAAAACTAGTAAATCTAGTGTGAAGAATGACGTCATAAACGAAGCCAACTTCACACCAAAGGCCATATAATTAATAAGAAAAACTACTGTGCGCCAAATTCACGCACTAGAATTTCTAGTTTTTCTAGTGAAATCTGATCAAAAACTAGCTGCAATAGAATTTCGTGACTGACCCCATGCACAGTCTCCAACTACAATTTACAACGAAAAGAAACAAAAAATAAAATAAATTTTTTTAAATACGTTTGATTCTATTGAATTTTTGTAGTGTACCACCGTCCAATTTGTTATTGCGATTGGGTGAAAACGATTTGGATGTGGAAGATGAACCATATTTGTATCAAGAGCGTCGTATTCGAATTGTTGTATCCCATCCACAATTTGATCGGCGCACATACGAATACGATTTGGCATTATTACGTTTCTATGAACCGGTCGTTTTTCAACCTAACATCATTCCAGTTTGTCTACCCGATTCCGATGAAAACTTCATTGGACGAACGGCATTTGTAACGGGTTGGGGAAAATTAAAAGATGGTGAGCTAATCGCATATTGTGTCATAATTGTTACATTATTCGCCATTATCGTAACTATTTGTACAAATATCCGTGTGAATGTGTCATTATTGATGTCATTGTCATCTTTGTGTAGCGCATCTAACACATTTAGCAATGTATATGGATTTTTAATTGCTTGTTGTCGTTTCATTCCAAAGTTTTGCGTATTTTTGTTTTCTTTTTTTATTGTATTGTTTTGCATATTTGAGAAAAAACCAACACATTTATTATGATCGGCGTGCATTCGTCGGCATCTATTTGAAATTTGGAGTTGTTGTTAATGTTTTTTTTTTTTTTGTGTGACAGATGGACCTTTGCCGAGCGTTTTACAAGAAGTCTCTGTACCTGTCATCAATAACACATTATGCGAAGAAATGTATCGAATTGCTGGCCACAATGAGTATATTCCACACATATTCATTTGTGCCGGTTTTCAAAAAGGTGGCCATGATGCCTGTGATGGTAGTTTCATCGATTTCATTAAAGAAAAAAATTGCAAATATTTTGCATGCCCATTTTTAACGGGAATTTGTTTCGGTGTTTACAGGGGACTCTGGAGGTCCGCTTGTAATTCAACGGAACGACAAACGTTTTCTGTTGGCTGGAGTCATTAGTTGAGGACACATTTGTGCTGCACCCAATCAACCCGGCGTAAGTTTTTCTACAAAGAGACAAACAAAAGTTTTTTTGATTTATTTTACAAAAACCTTACCATTTATTTTATTTACAGGCTTATACAAGAATATCCGAGTTCCGTGAATGGATTAATCAATTGACTCAGGAGGACACCTAACCTCAATATGTTCCTGCTGCTGCTGCTGCACAGCAGAACAATAAAACCACGCAATCGCATTCGTAAAAAACTTACATTTTTAAATTTAATTTCAATTTTAATTTAGTTTTATTAATAAAATAAAAACAAAAATAATGAGCCGTCATTAGGTGCAAAAAATAGAAATGTTATCCAAAGCGAGTCGACCTTTGTGTCGAAAAAATAGAAATGTTATCCAAAGCTTTGCAGCGGTATAGACGTATGAAATCACACTAGCCGCTGAGTAATTGAATTATAATATTTATTTTATTAAATAATTCGTCACGATATTATTTTTTTTATCTTTTTTGTTCACAATCACATTGTTTTTTTTTTTATATTTCTAAATAAATAAATCTCGTACAAAATGTAATACAATAACTGTCAAGTGTAGTTTTGTGAATAGGAATTTGCCAGTTTTCCATGTGGCCCGCCTGTCAAAGCGCTGTCGTCGACTTGTTCGACGGATTTGGTCCCCTTGAAAAATAAATTTTCATCATAATATATTTGTCCCTTTGACTCTGGTCAAAGAACAAAACGCAGAACATTTTGATTCACGCATGGTGTGCTTCAAGTGTTCTACTCAAGCAATGCAATTGTGACCAAATCGAAATTTGTTCTGTTTTTCAAAGGCCCGAATATCCATAAAATGGATAAAACACCGATTTCTGTCTTTTTTTTTTAGTTCTGTCGATTTTATACGGAATAAGAAAAACAGCTGTATAGAAAAAAAATCCAGAATTTTTAAGGACTTATATTGTCTTTTTGGCTCTAATTTCAATAAAATCAATATAAACGCTCGAAAACTAGATATTTGTCGTACTTTGAGTTACCCCCATAGGACGAGCCTAAAAGTGTCTTTTATATGTATTTATATGCAAACGTCATTCTCTGAACTTTAGAAGAATCCCCCTACACTAATGTAAGAGGAACTAGAAGAAATGGTTTGTGCATTGGATACATTTCCACTATTGTATATTAAAAAAGACATGAACCACCACACATTTTCATTAGTTCGATGTTTATAGGATAGATACAGCGCCATTCAATGTCTGACAACTATACTTGTCCTATGGTTACCCAAACTGTACAATTTTGTACAGAAAACGTTAGAATTTGAAATTGGATGGAATAGCAGCGATTTAATGCGATTGAAAATGAGTTTGCGCAAGAGAAGCAACACATGGTCGTACAAATTCAAATGCATTGTTCTCTGAATGTTAAAGCTGATGAACAATGTTGTTTGGCAATGTGAGACGCGAGAGCGGGGATTTTGTATGTAAACATATGACGAGGGGTTGTTTATATGCCATTGTGTTTTGCAAGCATTTTTACTCATACATTCACGTATTGAGACAGACAGACAGATACACCACCGCATGCACAAAACAAAAAACGTAAACATATTAATCATCAGACGCGCTGAATGTTGACGTTGTGCATTTGAGAGTCTCTGTTCATATTGTGTGACGTGATTATTTTTTTTTTTCGTTTTGAAAATTGAAAAAATTAATTCGAGTGTTGTTTACCAATTGAAAGTGTTTTTTTTTGGACGTCGATTGAAGTGTGAATATGGCAGAAGATGTTGTTGCGCAAACGGCTGAGGGTGATAAAAAAATCGTCCATACATATCCCTTGGTAAAGGTAATTTCAAAATCTTTTTTTTTTGCATTGATAAAGTAAATGAATGAAAAAATAAACGACCAAAAATGCCACAAGCTTAATTAAATTTGACTGCCTGCGGATTGGTTTGTTTGATCAATGTAACCGACACAAATTAAACCTGCCACCGATGGCACGCGATTTTTTGGTTGTTTGTTGATTTATTGTCATACTAATTTTCTACCGAAAATGACTAACGCAATACAATAAACTTTTCTCACTCCAATTACGTCAAACATCGCTATTGCCACTGCACAATGGCCTAATATACATATATATGTTCAGTATTCGGATATGCCAGAAGAAATGAAACTGGAATGCGTCGAACTTAGTATGACTGCTTGCGAGAAGTTCCAAAACAATTATGAGGTGGGTGGCTTGTTCATGATTTCTTCTTTTCCTCAATACCAATAAAATGATGAGATATTTTTTTGTTTTCGTTTTCGTTTTTAGTCACTTTGTGAATTGATTTATTTAACGTGACTCTTAATTCGTTTATATTATTTTCTACCAATTTTTAATTGATTAGACGGCGGCGCGAACGATTAAAGAAGCAATGGATAAAAAGTATGGAGTTTATTGGCATGTGGTTGTTGGAGAAGGATTTGGCTTTGAAGTATCATACGAAACAAAAAATATGCTCTATCTATTTTTTGCTGGAAACATTGCCATTTGCCTATGGAAGTGCTCTTAAATATTAAATAATTTTTTTCTTCCGAACCATTTTTCACTATTTCTCACAAAACAACGCCGCCAAACATCAATTGATATGTGAACACGACGACAATTAAGCAATACCGCATTCAAAACAAAATAATTAAGCAATTCCATACATATTGTACAAATTTTTTTCGCTTCAATAAGATCGGGTTAAATAAACGGATATTTTTTGTATATCACCTTTTAACGAATGAGAAAAATCGGATTTAATTTGATTTAGATTTATTGTTTACAGATAGACCTTTTCTTAGAGCAACAATATATGTGCGGAGGAGCGCTCTGCACAGGAGATGGAGGAGCATCCAGAGAGAGATTAATAATATTATGAAATTTAATGATATCTCAGAGCGCGCTTCTCCTTAGATGGATTGATGATTGAGAAACATAGTCTCTGATTGTTTTTGACAAAGAAATTCAAGATTTAAGGAGAATGAAAATTTTGTGATGGTTGATTAAGTTGAAATGGTAAATACTATTTACTCTTTCCGCAATTTCATTTTTATATTCTGTAAATTTCACCTCGACAAAGTAAGTTTAACCAGTAGGAAAAGAACTCACTCTCTCCATGTTAAAAGCGGAAATGGTTTTCGGCTTCAATTTTGTTTGCAAAAAAAGAATCAAAATACCCAAAAAATATCTATTGGTTCGTTTTTTTCATTGAAAATTGTCACTATAATATAATATTGCGTACATTTCTTTTGATTTGTATGATTTGTTTCATATACACTGTTACTTAATTTGGTTAATATTAGAAGATTAGAACAGTATGAATTCCACGTTATAAATGTCATTCATTAAACTCATCTTAATTAATGTCATTAAAAAGAATACTTTTAATTTGTTTCTTTTTTTGAAAGTCTCATCTTGTTAAGGCCGTCGATAGCAATGAAGAACAATTAGAGTCTTGAACAATTCCTTACAATTGCGAGCGAGATTCCTGCATTGCTTTTTATTGTCTTATTTAGTTTTTATTCGCATTTGATTATAATATTGTTAAATTCTTCAATTTGTTTCATTATTATTATTATTTTTGTATGGTTTATGAATGAATAAAAACAAATATTTTTTTTCTCGCTTCAAAATAACATTTGGAATTAAAATAAAAATAATATAAAATAATATGAAATACAATTTAGCAAAAAAAAAAAAACATAATATATAAATTAAAATTAAAAAAATTGAGCACAAAAAGGGAGAGGAAAAGTAAAATCCTACAAAAAATGACTGAAAGAGTGAAAAACAGAGCTCATTGATTTTCGTTAGCATTTTTTTCGAATTTCGAAAATTTCGAATGGCCAATTTTGGATTAGATCAAAAAAATGTTTCATTATGGCATATGAAATCAACAGCAATCGATATTGAATATGAATCGAATCATTGAAATTGAGTGACAAGCATTTTTGTTGCCATCGCCAGATTATAAGCAACATTTCGTACTTCTTGCATGTACAAATCAATTGATGCGCTATCATGATGAGTTATTGATTGTTGCAGACCATTGCAATCCTTTTGTAAGTGAGCTGTATTTTGATTCAACTGTCGTATTGCATTATGTATTGTTTCATTGGTGATCGTCTGCAAAAAGATGTGTTTTTTCAATGGTAAATGTTTTCGTTTAAATGACATGAAGAATAAGAAGAAAATCAATACCCCTGGAAAAATGGCCGTTAGCTCAGATACAGCGACTCGAATTCGTTCGGCACAACCAGGCACAAATACATCCTTCGCTGTCACTTCTTGCATAACTGACCAAAGCTCTTGAATGCGACGCGTGACTACTTCGGTTCGATACTTTACGTCGTCAGAGTTCGGCAATGTACTTTGCCCATTGGTCATGGCGGGCACAGTTGTATCCGATGTTTGCGGCTGTGGCTGACCATCGATCATTTGATACATACTGTTTGCGGTGCGATTATCATGATTTTGTTGTGATTTTGTTGCATTTGGCCCTTCACGTGTCTCATACATACTGACTGGTCGTTTATTATATCCTGTAGCCGAAAGTAAGTCATTATTCGGTGTTTCATCAGCACCGACACATTCAACCGACTTTCCATTTCCATTTATATGCACATCATCAATTCGTCTAAGGAAAATAAGAACAAACATTTTGTTTGCAAAAAAGGCCGACACATATTCTCTATCATTTTTTTTACTTACAATGGCACATCGAATGCACTTATCGAAGACGAGTCGATTCGTGATTTCAATTGACAATTTTCGGTTAGCAGCTTTTTCACCAGCATTTTCAATTCGTCAATTTCATAGAATGAATCCTTGAAAAAGTTATTAAAATAAAATTAATTGTTTCGAAGAATTTTTTTTTGTCAAAAAAGTAAGCTTACTTGTAATTTTCGTCGTAATGTTTCAACCTCCTGTTTTCCCGGCTCTTGATTGGTGCCCACCTTTTGATTTCAATTGCGATAAGAATTTATTCAATCAGAATCAGTGTGTAAAAAACGAAATTATTTGAAATTCCTTATCGATATTACACCATTACCGAGCATTACCGAGCATGAATTTCAATGTGATCATGATATGCAATAATAACATTAAGAGTGTGCATACATTACGAATTACGGGATAAACACACAAACAGGACGATTAGTTAGAGAATAAACGCAACGGTAAATGACATTTCATTTTGACGATCGATTTTATTACACAGAGTCAGTACAAATGTTAAAAGAAAATTATGAATTGAATGCAAATAAAGCGTGTATATGATATAATACGTTCGTTTCATTTCTCACTGATGATTCAATATTTATTAGTAAAAACAATACAATTACATGATTTATACATATAATATATAAATTTCGTTAGTTTATGAGGCAGAAAGCGAATACTACGTCTAGATTCCCATATTACCAGTTGTTTTTATTGAGCTATCTATAACCATAAATTATATATTATTCTCAATAGAATGTATTTTTTTTTTAATTTCAAATAAAATTCGTTTATGTACAGAAGCATTTTAACTGCATGAATATGTAAGTGGTATATGGTCTATATGACGGAATAAATATATCTATGTAAATGGGCATAACAAAATGTTTTATAAAGTTCAAGATGCACAATTATGATAAAGTGGTTAGATAATATATGTTCCAAATTGTACTTTGGGGCTTTGTTTGGGGATCGGGTTTTATTGCGATTACATAAAACAAATATAAATATAGAGAGATTCATTTTATCAACAGTAAATCCAAGTCCAACACCATTAGTTTCGATAGAAATTTTAGTTTAGGCTTTGTTTATCTTAGCTTATATACTAACTAAAAACGGTTTTTTAATTGTTAAATATCGTTTGCAATTGTTATCAATAAATACATACAGACTAAATTTGTTTATGGTTTTAAATATTTAGTTACTACATTACATTTCCAAATCCCTTAAGCCAAAATTGAAAAAACGATATTGTTTTTTTTTTGTTAAATTAGCAAATTAGTGGACTTTTTTGAGGTGGGGGGACGAAAAATACAATTGGGGTTATTCGATCGAATAATATGTGAATGTTATTTGTTATATTAATTATTTCACATGTGCCACACATTAATGATTCCGGGTCAAACACATACACCGAGACACCAACAATAGCCAAATTAACCAATGCTATTGATTTTCAATGGTTTTTTATTATGTGCTGTTGACATTACCTGTTGTTGGCCGACAATTGGCGAAACACTTTGATTCAATGGCGTAAGCGCAGCATAGTCATCATCGGACGCGACCGCATCGTATAATGGTTCGTCATCCGATAAATTCGATAGACGTTCTAAATGATGGTGTTGTATTTTGGTATTTGATATACTTGACATATCAATCATTGGAGCATCTACATTTCGGACAATTACCGGGAAGAAATTGTTAATTTTTTTTTTTTGCTTATTTAAACTTTGAACTCTTCATGCGACTACTTTCTATACCAGCCGCAAATCAAAGACCGAAAATTTTACGAATTTGTTTGCTTGTTCGTTAATTTTGTTAAGAGACCAAATTTCCTTTCGTATGTCCAAATATTGGTAAATTTTTGAAATTTTAAAAATAAATGAATTTTTCCATTTTTTTCCAAATTAATTGGTTTAAATTGTAAAATTTTGAAAAATGACCATATTTCGGTCAAAACCAAAAAAAAAATGTGGTTAGGTGTTAATTTTGTGAGTGCCTTCAAAATAAGCAAAAATTTCGGAGCACTAGAAAACTTTACCTAATGGTCGTAATGCGGCCATATTTTGACGTCGCTTGGCATCGATGAGCACATCTGTTATTAATCCCATAAACTCGTTCGGACTGAAACGTGCCAATTTTTGACGGCCTTGATTTCGTGTTGCGCTCAAATGTGGATTCGTTGGCAAAAATGGGACCGCACCAATTTCCGGATTTAATGCACTCGTCGCCCAAACTGCAAAGAATTTCCGAATTCGTGATTTAATAAATGGCGAGATAAAATGATGGAGAAAAAATAAAGTTCAACTCACTGGCTTCGGTTTCACGTCGATCAACTTCATCGTATAGATCCATGACCAATTCTTCAAACATTTTATTTGGTACGAGTTGTAGTTTTCCGCGTGCAATTTTCAGTTGTTCACTAATTTCTGTGCCACCTTGATCGGGTATCAGAAGATGATTTGATGTTGAATGATCGGGTTTTTTACCAATCAAAAAATGCGTCAAACGATCTGTTACTTCGTATGTGGCTTCAATGAGCCGATCAGCAATGACTGTGTGTTTATTTTGTTTTGCAATTTCATGTGCTGTATTCCCTTTTGAATCTTTTGCTGTCAAATCAGCACCGTACACAATTAACAACTCCACCTGCGACGCTTGGCCTGCTTTGGCCGCCATGTGTAATGCCGTTGAACCTTTTTCCTTTTAGATAAAATCAACAAAATGCATATGAATAAATTGAAATTCATAAAATAAAAGCCAATCACAATCACAACCAAGACAAACCTCATGAAAATAACATGGATCGGCTCCTTGTACAAGTAGCCGTAATGATGTTTCCAAATTTGGTGATCGTACGCTGGCATGTAATTGTTTGCTTAGTTCATGTTCCAAATTGCCTGGTCCGCCGTCACCGTCAACTTGCTGTGGATTTGGTTTCAATATAAACGATAAATTCACATGTTTGGCACGAATAAATTCGGCTTTTGTCGGATGCAATGGATCTTTTGGCGATGGTTTTCGTTTAAGATTTTTCGGTGCAACGGCATCCATTAAGCAATGTTCCCACACGCTATTTGCACCATGAGCATTGATTGCATTGACATAATTGAGTACAGCCGGTGACCAGCTTCCTTGTCGCAACGATTTCACTTGTGATATATGTCTGCCCAGACTACGATGAATCGAACAACATTCAGCACACAATAAAATTCCACGATTTATCGATGCCCATGATGGATCTGATTATAAACAATGAGCAGATAATGTACAAACAATAAAATCGCATTATTATGCATTAGAAATGGTCGTCAATAAACAACATTATCGGTCGTCGTTTCAGTCAATGCACCGCGATTGACATAATAGTCATTTAGTAAAGTATAACATTGAATTTATATATAAATATATATATAGAAAATGTAAACAAACCTGATGCACCACAATCACCACAAATTTCAAGCTGTGCACGCGATTTTATACGCGACATTCTCTTTCGCTTCTTTCAATTTTAGATCACACAAAAACAAAAAGACGACTAGAAAAAGAACGCACAATATCCAAAAACAAATGCCTTCGTTCACTTTACAAACGAAACACACGAGATGAACGAAAAAAAAGAAAACTTTATCGAATCCTCTTATTCACAACAATTATCATTTTGCTGACAAATTTTACAACCAAAAAATGTACAATGGTCAAATATTTAATGTGATCACTATTCACTGTTCACATTCAATTGCAGCAATGGTGAAGTGTTTTATGATAAATTTTCAAAAAAATTATCAGATTGCAAGCATAAACGAATACTGCAGTAGTGTTTAAGAAAGAGAATTAACAAGAGAGAGAAAGAGAGCCAAATGAAAATGAAAAATAAATGTTTTATTTTTAAAATCATAAGTGTATCAACTCACTGTATGCGTGTGTTTACGATATGCACCAACACAAACACATAGACAATTCAACGACTTTGTGTGTATATCTCTGTGTCTCTGTGTGTGTGGCGAGTATCGTCTCATTCAAAATTATCACAAACATTGTGACAAATTGACTCATGACTCTGAGGAGTACCTTATTGGTTTGAGAGAACTGTCACACGCACGCACACACACATATATCAACGTGTTGTATCTTGCTCTGTTGTGGTGAATAGCATGTGTTCAATTTATGCCGCAAATTCACCACTTGAACAATGCTTTTCTATAAGATGTTTTACTGCAATTAAATTAAAACATGTTTCAAATGATATTTTTTTAGTTTTTTTTTTTTTTCAAAAGATATTAAATCGAAAGCTATATAGAGTCGTCATCTTATCATAAATATTGTTTAATCGATAACATGCCATTTGTATACGTTCGAGTCGACAATTTGGCAATGTTGTCCCCAATTCTAACCTCAATTCTTTAACATGCTGAATGAAATAATTTTGCACAACAATTCAAATGAAATAAACAAAACCAGCCCGAAATTCGGATAGACGTATTTTTTATGCTCAAAAGGTGTTTATTTTTTTCAACACAACATTCCGCATAGAATTAGGATTTTTTTTAAATTAATTTCATTTTTTAAAAAACAAAATTTCTTTCACGGGTGGTACAACTTCCAATGTGGGATACGCTTAAATTCTTGATGGATAGAGCATCTGAAAATAAGTAAAAAAGAAAGAAAGAGAGACAAACCAAATTAGATCGATTGAATTTCGAGTTCTGTATGTCAGTTTTTGACACCGATAATTGCGAGATCGAGAGAATCGAGTCGAATCAAAGCTCAGACGTGTTAAAAATTCCACATTTGTTTGTTCAGGTTTCAAATGTCTGCAAAGTATTTGGAGTCATCATTGTTGATTCATTGTTGCACTCGTTTTCTCTGTGTCATGGACGCATTTATCGATATCGATACAAATGTTTGTGATACACTTTTCAACTGATTCAAATAGCACTGTTCTTCTCTATATACTCACAATACGGATTGATTGTCCCATGGCGTGTCCTGGCAAATTCTTGCGGAATCGAGCGCGTACACAGCCAGTGCTACCGTGCAATCGGGTCACTTTTCCCCAAATGGCGCGTACTCGTGATTTGATGTATGGTTTTTGTGGTAAAGATTTGCGTGTTTTGGCTTTGAACACATACACGCATCGCTTGCCAACGTAAAAACTACCGTGTTGCTTCTTGCGGCAGCCATCAATCTACAAATTTAACAAAATATGATTAATTTCACTATGAGCATTTTTCTTTCTTTCTCTAATTCGGCATTTTCGCAATGTGCATACCTTCAAGATTGCTTGTCCTTCGTGTTGATTTCTCAATCCACGTTTGTAGCCAGTAAAAACGGCTTTAGCATACAAACGACCACGGGCTGGTGGACGTCTGGTTGAAACTAATTGTGTACGCTCAGCGGCTGCTGGAGCGGCTGCCTTTTCAGCTTTGCCAGCCTTCTTTGCAGCGGCAGCTGGGGCTGCGGGTGCAGATTGTGTATCAGCCATGTCAAATATTGAACTGTAACGAAACTGCAAAACAACCAACAAACAAAAAAGAAGGTTAGAGACTTTGCACAATCAAAATTAAAACTTTTTTTGTGGTTCTCGTCTTTCTACTTTAAATCGAAACAAAACACGATGTTGGTTTTAGGTTGTTAAACCATGAAAAAAATGAATGAAATAAGAACGAACTGTCACTCGGTCGAAGTGTTTAGCGCACAACAAAAATATCACTTGGTTTCTTTGAATGATTTGTTAAACATAAAATAAATCCTAATTCATCTGCCAAATTTTAAAGAATCGTTATTATTCTTCAATTAATTTTGCTACAATAAACGATATTCTTTGAAAATTTGTGAATATTTTCGTTGTGACACCGGAATTTTGTTGATTTTTTTCGAAAAATTTCACAAGACATCACCAATTCACATACGTACCGGATGCGTTTTCAATGGCGAAAGAATGTTTAAACCGTATGACACCGTACAGCAGCGCTTCTGTCAAACGCACATTGTATGGCATTCATAGGAACTATATGGGCGACAAAATCACAATGACACATGAACGGTGGGGGCGCCACTCATTTCATTTCATGCACGGTCACATCGATCTGTAAATGTTAAATAATGATTATGCAGTCCAAATCAATTGCAACGTAATCAAAAAGGAGAATTCATCAAAAATGTTTATTCACACCAGAGAAGTGACAAATAAGAAAAAAATGGAAATTTCTTCATGCCAAATGAACCATCATCACCAATGAATAATAAGACATATTAAAACCGATTCGTTAGATTATTAATAATTTATTTTACTTTTATTTATTTCATTTTTTTCACTTCATTCGTAATAATTTACTTTATTTACAATTTTTTTTTCTCTTCTCATTATCATCACCTAAAATGATGTATTTTTCAGAAAATTTCACAATTTTCTTTGCCTTATTTTATGTAAGTTAAACTCTATACTCGAATTTCAGTTATTTTCTCAATTTTGTTGTTAATTTTGTTTGTTTTTATAATCATTTTTCTTCTTGTCACTTTCGAAAACAAACCCAAAAAAAAAAAACATTGCGTTTTTGCATTTGTTCAACAAAGTGCGCTGCAATATCAATTCTTTTTCTTTGAATTTTGTGTGTGTGTTTGTGTTATCATACTAGGTAATTAAATTTTCTCATTTTCATGTTGGATATGAGACGCTTGAGATATACAATATATTATTTTGTGTTTGTATAAAAAACCAAACAACGGTAACGCCGAATTTTGTTCACAATTTAAAAAAAAGAACCAACAAAAAAACGATTGAAGCCGTAAAATTGAAGACATTGTCATGTAGATCACAAGAAAATGAGGAGGAGTGTGTGTATATATATATGTTCTCAGTTAAAGTGAAATTTAAATTGGAACGGTGATCCATGGTAGAAATGTTGATTGAATGGATTTTGTCCACGGAATCCTCCTTGTCCAGCCTCTGGGTCGAGTGGATCTTCACCGTTATCGAATTGTTCTCGTTTTTTATCATCGGTAAGCACTTCTTTGGCGGCCGCAACATCAATGAATTTCTTTTCGGCGACTTTTTTCGCATCGCCTTGATACGCGTCTGGATGCCATTTTTGTGCGGCCTTTCGATAGGCTTTGACAATTTCGCGTTTGGTTGCCTTTCTTGACACGCCCAATATTTTATAATAATCACGACGTTCGGCTTGTTTTTGCCGTGCTTTTGCTTTCTCCAAACCCTCTTTGGCCCGCTGCAAATGTTCATCCATTTCAAGTGCACTTTGGTAATCGTGAATGGCTAAAATAAAACACGATAAAATGCATTTAACAATAATCGTTGCAAATCACGTTTCAATTAAAATCACTTACCATCATCGAACATGTCGGTTTCCATGTATGCTTCGGCTCGGTCACACAGTACACTCGGATCCTTTTGCAATTCAAGAGCTTCACGGCATTGTCCAATGGCATCGCTATATTTTTCACCTTTAACATGACACGTACACGATAATTGCTTGGCATTGAAAATGATCATTGGAATTTCGGTTTCAAGTTTAAGTGCTTTTTTCGTGGCATCGATACAATCTTCATATTCACCACTTTCAAGTGATTGATGTGCGTCAACTAATGCTTTTTCCACTTTTTTAATTTTCTTATAAAATGGGAAGCAATCTTTGTGCTCTGGATCCAATTTTAAACATTCACGAACCTCTTTTAATGCATCGCTTGCATGACCAATTTGATATAATAAATGTGATAATTTGTAATATCCTTCGGTACTGTCTTGTGTTAAACGATTTACCGAACGTAAATCGGATACAGCCGATAAAATATCACCAACGGCAATATGACTGTCGGCTCTCATTTCACGCAACTCCTTTGACCATGGCGATACTTCAAGCAATTGTGTCATCAATTGTATGGCATTCGGATGATTATTGTATTGAATCGATTCCAAAATGTACACGTATTGTTCACGTGACGGTTGTACACGGCTATACCAATAATTTGCATCTTGATGGTATGGATCCAATTGTAGTACATCGTAGAAATCACGTTCGGCACTCGCATAATCACCGACTTTCATATGTACAGTGCCCCGTTGGAATCGTGCAGCCAAAAAATCGGGCTTCAATTCAAGCACTTTTGTTAAATCGTTCAATGCAAATTTTGCCTTTCCCAATGCCAAATAAACCGTACCACGTTGATAATATATCAAATAATTGTGCGGATCACCCTCTGAAAACAAAATCATTCAAGAAAAATAAAACCAATGAATTTTGTTAGCACGGACACGTCAGTCAAACAAATATGACGAAGAACAAAAAAGTTAGCTCACCAACAGCTGCATGATAATGTGTTAACGCATCGCTTAATTGACCATTGACTAAAAATTGTTTTCCTAATTCTAAATGACGATCGACCTCTTGTTGTGACGCCGCTGTTTCAGCTCCTGCAATGGATTTTAATTGAGACAAACTCATGTTATTTCACGATTTTCGCTCTATCGTCTGTTTTCAATGTCATCATCACCAATATCAATTAAACTCGATGTAGAATTGAATGAAAATGTTTGAAATTCATCGAAAATGACCGCGTGGAAAATGTAATGGATTATATAGAATGATTCAGAACATGAACTTACCGTCGAAAAAGAGCTCTAGAATTAACAACAATAGACAAGCGGTTAATCGTTTGTCGGTCAACGATTGTACGTTCATATCGAATGCGTTCAGACTCATTTTGTATTAATTTTGAAAACAGCAACAAAAAATTTGTTTCTTCTATATATTTATGGCTAATGAAATGCAGCTATGAAGTTGTGAACGGGGGAGGTCACAATATGTAAATATGTTCAATATTCCTTTTTTGTATGTGCGCGAATTGTTTTTAATTAAAATTCACTTTCGATCGTGGGCAACAAACGCCAGGTGGACACCGATTCACTTCTTCTTCTTCTTCTTTCTCTGTCTATCTATTTCTCTGCTCGGTTATCGGCACGTTTTTATTTATAGATATTTGAATGATGTTCCGTTTTATTCTATCCTCTTTCTAAAATTCAATAAAATGTTTCTCTCCTTGGACCCGAATTCTGATTTTTCTATTAATTTCCGTAAAATTTAACTTTTGTAATTTGTAACACTTGTAATTTTCACATTTAATTCTCAAGTCGAGCGGAAAAAAAGAAGTTTATACGATTCAACTATATGTCTACTACAATGCCACTTCACCCAACTAATCGTTTATTTATTACTGATAATTCATTTTCACATTGACGAAATATTTATTTGACGACGACGACAACAACAACAACAAAGACACACAGAAGGTGACAGAAAAAAAGAGTTTAAAATGAAAAAAAGAAAACTAACTGAAAAATATTGCATACATTCAAACGGCTGAATGAAAATTATATCGTAAACACTTCGTTTTCAAAATATGAATATTTGATTTGACTTTTGTGTCGTGTAAATTCAAGTCGTCAGCGATAAGTATGCTTTTGTGTCTTGTAATATTTGTACCAACATATGAACCGATGAAACCATTTATTTTTACTACCGCTGCGGCGGTTCTCGGTTTATGTGGTCTCGTGTGATTGGTCCAAATAATTATGTGTTTTGACTTTTTCTACTCGTGATACACACACCAACACATGCACACACCAATTGCCATTTGGATGATGTTGATTTGCTACCACCACCACCACCACACACACATATGTCATTCCGACATACACACTCACTCAATCAGAATAATGTGTGCGTGCTTTAGTATTTAGTGAAACGTCATATCATTCCATGTTGATTCCATGTGGTGTTACTGTGTCATATGTTAAGCATTTCTCATTTAAGCTTGAATAATAAACAATGGCAATTTTGACAGGCTACCACCACACTCCCATGTAACGCATACACATTGCACTGGACTTTTTGAATGCGTTTATATTAAAACATACACGCGCCCATTTATTTGTATTTGAATTGTTTTTAATCTATTTTATCTCCGTATACGGAATATTCTATTTGTATTTCAAACTTCTGGACTTTTCGACACATGATGATAACTCAAATTCCATCATCTTTCGAAAGTTAATGATCAAAATTCAAAGATATTGGCGCTTTTTTGCTCCTTTTTTATTTCAAAGTTTTTTCGCTTTTGATATTTCCGCAGAATTGTTGGAATTTTAAATTTTTTTCTTCTTTGATTTCATTGCTGTTGGAATAAAAAAAGTTTTTTTTTTTTGATTAAATTCATGTTGAATCAAGAAAAATCAAATCTTTATCCGCCAACTCAAATTGTCATGTTTTAATCATAAGAATCATTCATCATTTTTCTACACAAAAATTCCAAGTGGAACACCAAAATTAACGTCCATGGAATAAATCGAATGTTCCAAAGCTTTGAAAATAGAAAAAACGCCCGTTTTTATGCAATCGGCATACTTTTGAATTGGTACGGAGTGGTTGAAGCGATTTCAACTTAACACTGGTTTCATACATATATTTTTTGTTGGCTGCGCGTGCAATCGAATTTAAAACAATGTTTCGTTGATCATTGTTCTTCATTCTCTCGCTGTCTGTGGCCGTTTAACGTCTAATTCAGTCCGTTCAGTTTAGGAGCTCGTTGTGTGCGCTATTTGAATCGTTCGTTTTGAGTTTTGAACAGTGCGTGTGTTTTAGAACGAAACAATAAAAAGAAATAAATTCAAACCAAAAATTAAGGTAAATAAAATAGTTCATTTTTCTAAACAAAAAACTCACCGAAAGTTTGATAATATTGATCAACGATTGAATTTCTGAATAACATGTGGGAAATTCGATCAAATTTTAAATTACATTAACAGAATGTTTCGGATCCACGTTTGACCATCGTTGCAAGTGTAAAGTGTTTGAATGACTTAATTTCTGTGACTTATTTCCAGACTAAATTAAAAAAATTATTATCGTACAACAATCTTTGTCCAAAACGTATACATTCACGGCACATTCTGCGCACAAATTCCGTTTTTAGCAGCAATAAAATAACGAAATTAAATTCTGAATCATTATGTATATTTATTTTTGTTTATTTGCTCATTTTTATATCATTATTTGCTTGTTTTGTTACATTGTGATCAACGAATCTCAACCCAAAAATGTTTGCAATCATTTACGTGAATCATTCAAAGAACAACCAAAAATGAAGATGAGAATATCAGGCGAAGAGGATTATTTTGTTCATTTCTATGTTTTTACTGTGTTAATATCGTGCCCATTAGTTTTTCGGGCGAATGATTTAAATTAATCGTGCAATGAAGCATAACAAGACTGATTGATCATTATGACTGATTTTGGTTTGATGTTCTTAATTGTGGCGATGCAACATTGTATAATGTCTTCGCTCATATATAAAACGCTCCATTTTTTCTTCCAAATTTGTGATCGTCGTTGGAACCGCCTTAATAATATTTTTACGCTGGTCAATAGCACAGTAAATAATAGAGACTCTCTTTGCTTATGATCATTATAAAAAAATGTAGTGCATCCAAAGCACGTATTATTGTTCTGTGCTATTCACAGTTTGGTGTATATCTGTGGTGTTTGCGTTTGCCTCAGTTATGTTCTTTTGGACCATGTAAACCATGAACATGGAACCAACACAATACCAAGCATCCATGTATGGTAATTCTGACTCTTCGGCCATAATTCATTCTGAATTCTTAAGATAAATAGAGAGAAAAAAAATACTGAAAAAATACGCACAATCATTCAGATTAATTAAAATACAAAAGACGCAACAATGAACAAAATCGCACTTTTCTTTCTTTTCTTCATACGTGAATGACGTAATATGGTTATGATTTTATTATACCGTTGCTACTACTTTCTTTCGCCGTGTATTTGCTTTGTACTTTGTGTTTTATATTCTCCCCTTTGCGCCAGCTTAACTAGAAGGATTTTCGTTAACTTCCACACACACTTTTCGCTGTGTGTTTTTTTTATCGCCGTTTTGCCAATACACTTCATCTATTATTTACATAAGTATTTAATATCATGTTGTTCATTTGTTCTCTCTTGTAATGTTGTTGTTGTTGTGACGACGATGACGACGGGAGAGTGTAAAAGAAACGCATGTGATAACTGTTTTTAATATCCATAATAAATGTTACGCTTTTAATTAAGTGCAGAGAATTCAAGCGCAAGAGCGCAATAAAACACTGTTTAAATGCAAAATAAATAGTGCGACCATACACCGCATCAAAGCAAACACACGAATCCAATGCCGATGATACCACACCAATGGAAAAAAAGAGATGAGAATATAAAATTCAAATAAAATTGAATAAGGTGGAAATGATGTACTTTTCATTGGCACGACTCGCACAATACCGTGAAACATTCGCGCGCGAACGACAAGCAAAAAGTGTCTAATGCACGGCTCTGAAGCAACCAAGAGAATTTGAACGAATAAAATAGAATAATAATAAAAAAAAATACAAAATTCTACATGTGCAGTTTGTTGGATAACAATAAATTAATATGCGGAAAAGTAAAAGAACGACTGCACCAACATGCATGTACCGTAATCTATGAATTTTCATTCTCTTCAACAAATTCAATGGAATTGCTCTTTATAGCTGTTGCACGCATTGTAAACGATTCACTTTGTCGATAGTTTATTAATGTTATTCAATAAAGCACTTCATCAAAAGAATTTACACTTTATTACTTTGATTCTCTCTCTTTCTACTTCGGCCACTTTTCTGGGAACGTTTTTATTTCGCGCCATAACATTTTTTTTTTCTTTCTTTCATAAAGATAGAACTGATTTTTGGAGGGAGAGAAAAAAACTGTAATTTATCGCTTTTATCGGACAATGGGCTGAAATCGCGCAGAGATAAAAAAGCCTGCAAGAAAAGAGCGATAGAGAAAGATGACTTTTGATATATTGATATAACAAATTAAAAACTGTGTCATCATTTTGATTGTGAGTTCCGAAATAAACTCAACAGCCGCAATTTAATCATTATCTCAAGTCATAAATGTGCGCTGTTCTATATAAAACAACAATTGCGTAAACACGACTTGGCTTTTTTTCTCTATTGTGTCCCTTTGTCGTTAAATGAACACCTCCGCCGTACAGAGAATATTTACGAGAAAGTGAAAGAGCAAAAAAACTCATGTCCTTGAAAAGTAAAACCATAATAAATATTATTCATCTCTCGCTCACGACACGCAAATCCATTTTTGCCTTTACTATCACTTTTTGACGACGACTACACGACTCGCATTCAGGCTAATTATCAGATTGGTCTGCCGATTATCAACCAAAACGCATGGGTCAAATCTATTAACACATCCTCGATGATCGCATCATCCGTCTGCATGTTACAAATTATAGCACATGTTTCGTACTATTCGCACAAGACGCGTCTTTCAATTGACGGTCATTGTTTTTGCATGTGATATCACCAAGTTTTTTTTATCGGTAATGGGCTTCCGCATCGAAATTTTTTGTCATTTGTTGCACATTTGCTTCGGCGAATAAACAACTGAATGGATTTAATTTATTTGCTTTTATCTTTTCGGTGGGTGTTGAAATAAGCTCTAAGTGAATTAATCAAAATGTAAATGGATTTTTTTGTGGACAACGATCGAAATATTTTTTTCTTATTTTTGTTTATTTTTTCAGTGGAATTTTTCTAAATTGATGATCAAAGATTAAAATTTTGAAGTTTTCATCAAATTCTATTTAGTTTATTAACCCTCTAGTGCATAGCCCTGCCTTTAGGCATGGTGTATAAATTATTGTCTAAAATATATAATTTAAAAAAAAAGATTTTATTTATGAATTAAAATACATTCAGTAGGGCTCAGGCTTTCATTTTCCGGTCATTTGACAACTGGATGTAAATCGGTTGCTTAATTATATACACGGTTGTACTCGAAAACAGAAATTTGACAAAAAAAATTATAATTTTCTTTGTTTATAGCAGATTTACTGCAGTTTAAACAATGGTTTTGATTGTTCTCGAATTTTGTCAATAGCATTTTTTGAGAAAACCATGCGATTTTTTGAATTTCGATTATTTTTTTAAGGAATTATAAACCAAAACAATCATAGAAAAATAAGTCTCATATCGAAAAAAAATTAATGCATTAGAGGGTTAATCATAGATTTGATGAATGTATCGTCATCTTTTCGAATGTCCATAACTAGAAACGAAGTAATCTTTGGTGAGACCAAATAATTACTTCATTTCTGAAATAATGTACACAAAAATACTGAAGATGCCGAACAAATTCTTACGGTATAATTTGTTAAGTCAAAGCAACGATTGAAATATTGTCTTTTTTTCTATCTCTCTTCTTTTTTTGATTCATCGAGTGATTTCTATATTGAATGCCGGAGAATAAACGTATTGCAATCATAATCAACAATTTGTTGACATTTACCAGCCATTACTAATGTACAGATCGAAAATCTAGTTATTGTATCGAAAGCGATTCGTGTCACCGTTGGTATTAATTATCTGCAACGAAAAAAAAGCGATTAAAAATACCAACAACATTTTTGTTCAATAAAAAAAGCGACCAAAACAAATCACAAAAATGTCAATTCGAAATGATTTGCATCATGATCGTTGTGTCACTGCTCTTAAGTAGATTAACAATATTGTATTTATTTGCACCAAAAAAAGATGAACAAACATGCTGATTTTTCGCGGAATATTTCGTTCTTCTTTTAGATTTGCTATTCACGTTTTCCAAATTAGGCAAAAAAAAATGAATTACCGGCTCGGAACAATTCATTTGAGGGACTACTAGTTCACTCAACTAGTATTAAATGGAAAGATAAATACATCATTTTTGGTGTATTGCGGTAATCAGCGAGAAAAATGAAGAAGAAGAATAGAAATAATCATTACTAAATTGAATTTCAATGGGAATGGCTGTGGTTGGTATAAATTGGACCCGATATAATCAGCCAGTTGCGAGACTCGGAAGCAAAATTCAATACTCATATTGAATGCGTAGTAGTTTTTATTCCCTTTCAAAATGATATTGTGTGCGCACGCCTTTTTTTCAATGCGTTTGGCATTCGGCGTTAGGCTTAAATTACGCTACCAGCCCATGTACTTCATTTCAATCGGTTTAGTTTTTGTTTTTATCACAGTGTCTTTCAGAATGCGCACACAGAGGGAGAGAGAGAAAAAGAGAATATTTTGAATAACACGTCTATAACCGTGAAAAATTACGCTCATTTCTGACTATATCATTATACCTGTTTAACTTATTGTTACTATTATTACGTCTAATTATTTGTTTATTCATTCGCCATGTATATATATCATGGAATATGCATACGATTTAGTGTACATTTTTTTTTTTGTTTTCACGCATGCCATTCGTTCATTCGATTGTTGAGTGTGTTTGGCTCAGTCGTCGTGTTTTTTTTTTCTTGATTTAATTTAAATGTACTTATATTTCTATTTTCGAATAATCTCTACAAATAAATTATAATAATATTTCCACTGTATTACTCGTCAAAAAAAGGAATTTGTTTTTTTTTTGTCCCAACGATGGAGCAAAATGACAATGCAAAAACAAATTCATAGAATAAGAAATTAAAACGCGGCTTGAAATGCAACGATCTTTAATATTAGTTTCGATGCGATCACACGGTGCACGTTAATCACTGTTGTAGCACGCTACTGAGTCACCGAAAAATCAACGAAAAGAAAATCGTATTCTCATCGTTCAATTTTAGATGGGCTTTTATTGTGTTCACCACAAAGCATCGGCCAAGCTACGTGTGTGTGCGTGCGCGCGTTTTCTTCAAGGGTCCGAAACGAAATTTCATGAACAATGGCTGGGCAATTTCGGTTGTATGTCACCCGTAGAGTGATGAAGCGCATGCATGCGTAAAATCCAGGTTGAATAAAACGTTTGAACGTGATAAATGACGGGTATTTTTCGAAGAGAGAGAGAGAGAACTGAAATTATGACGAGCGAATTGAATTCATTCTTTCGTCTTTGAAAATCACAAATGATTCTTGAATTTGTTTTTCTTTCTCTCCCTCGCTCTTCAACGGGCATAAAATCAGAAGTATAAATGTGTCCGAATCAGAAGTGATGAAGAAAAGAAAAAAAAACGAAGAAAATAATTACATTTTAAACAAGCGGAAATTTTACGCGATTTTTGTATTTTTCTTCTGAATTGCGTTTCCAGAATCGAGTTTCATTCGTTCTCATTCAAGAATGAAATTGGTAATGGGAACTCCGAGAAATGAAAAGTGATGAAAATTGCTTCAAATATCTAACAACAACAAAAGAAACAAACACCAAATCAAGACCCATCAATTTCCGGTCGTAGATACTTAATTATCGATAAGCCAAATGACTATATGACTATGACTCGCTCTAATAAATTCTCATGGCATTTGGATCGAATATGCTTTTCATACTCACAATTTTTCATGCATTTAATGACGTGTTGTTTGTGAAAAATTCGGAATTCGTTGTGGTATGTCATCAACAACAACAGAATGATGACATGCATCACGATTATATCATTAGATCACAATGAATATCCCGTGGCATATTCTGTCTGTATGTCACCTCTTTCGCTTCGATTTTATTACCATAATTTTTATGACCCATTGCAGTTTACTGTTCACAATTCACTTCTATTTCATCCATAAAATGAAATCAACAGATTGCTTTTCCATTCGCAAAGCCAGTTATAAATTTAAATTGTGATGGAAAACCATAAATTGTGTTTGTTCTTCGTCATTTTGTAATGGGCGATGAGCAAATAAACCAAAATTTCATAAATAATTTATATAATATGAAAGATGCACATATGGCCGATCCGACCCACACATTCTTGATTGTGTCAATTTTGTTCTATTTCTGGCAAACAAACTTCTGACCAATCAACCAAACAACAATATCAATACAAAATGTTGCTGCCGTGATAGTGGTGCTGTAAAACAGTTCGGATAGACATTATAAAATATCACAAATGAATAATCCATATTTCGAAAGGAGTGATCGTATCTAATTGTAGGTCTTTGATTTGCTGAAAATATGAAAAATATGCTGAGTGGAATGTTGAATGTGCACATAATGAGACAATAACAACAGTTTTTTTTATTTTTATTTCTATTTATTTCTGTGTGATTCACTGGGACTATCGTTTGTATTGGTCACTCTGTTTCTCTTGGAATCTAAACAATAACAAATCACATTGCAATAATCAACTCATTGTAATTGTTGTTCTTTCTATGATCAGAAATTAACCGATCACAACTAATCGAATGGATTAGTGACTGTTTCATTTCGATATAAGATGAGTAAAAAAATGTTGATTGAAAAATCGTTTATTTGCTTGCAATTATCGCACATCATTATCGCGAATCATCATCGATGCTTATTTTTCGATTTCTCGCGATACATAAAAAAGCGTTGCATTTAAGTCGCCGTTGCAATCAGAGATTAAGTCATAATCCTGCATTTTGTTAATGATCTGTTTTTTGCTTCGTTCTCCTGTTATTGAATTTTTCAATAATAATCATTTCAAAAAAATATTCCATTGTTTCAATGCGCAATGAGAAAAACTGACACACACACACAATTATTTATCATTGGGTCTTGTGCACGTCAATTTTCTCTTCTCACATCGCGCAATTTGTACAGACGTTTTTTTTTTACTCGTTTTTAAATGATTATGTAATGTGCACGCTTTTAAAATGGAGTTTTTATTTAACAGACACACCATTTTTGAATTGCAAATATATTTTGATTTGTAGCTCTTTCTATCTCTCTCTCTTTTTCCCTCCCGATTTGTTTCAATATAGAATCAATAGAAATGGCTGGATTCAAGTACACGTTGGGTATCAATGAGCTGTCATCGAGAAAGCATAAGCTTACAAATGCATTGCTCGCCGAATTTGTAGGTAAGTGTATGAGATATTTGAACAAAACGTGCGGCAAAATTTACTAAACATATGAAAACAAAGATAAATGAAGAAAGATCATAAAATTATGAGAACAAAAAAAAAACGATTTTTTTCTTCGTTCCAACAATTAGAGAAAAACGGATGTTTGAAAAATGCACAAAAAAGAGCTGGAACTTTAGTTTTAATCACCTCTCTCTCTCATTAGGTATATTCCTGTTGAACTTTTTCGCATGTGCAGCGTGTACATTTGGTGATCATACAATGATATCGTTTGCATTTGGATTGACTGTTTTTGTGGCCGTTATGGTTAGTATTTCTTTGGAATCTCAACGTTTGTTTTATTTGTATTTCAAATTATTTTTGCCGTCGTCGTCAACGGGCTGCAACAAAAGGTGTTGTGACTGCACAAATTTATGGACACGCTAAGCTTCTATCCCATTTTGGGAAAATGAAAAAAAATCTAGAGAAAAAACAATTGGCTACACAGTTGTAAATGCACAAACAAAAATAGTTTCGAAATTGCGTGAGTGCGACATACACCTGATATAAATTTGCCAAATGCAAGTAGAACACATGTCAAATCGTTTGAATTAAAATTAGTTCATATTTACAATTGTTTTGTGTTCATGAATGGTGTGTTAATTTTCTGCTCATACATATTTGATGTCCATATATATTTTTTTTCTTGCCAATTGAAACACTTGTGTGTGCGATGAACGAATCGAATACTATATGCAAGAGTCGAGAGGAAAACTAAAAAAAACTGTATCAATATAAAATGAATTGCTTGCTTCTACAAAAGAAACGTATGCATTTCACTAGTAATGTGATCGGATAAATTGACATGTACACCGACCGACCGGTTTCATCCCATTTGAAGGGAGCGATAGAAAAATGCGCCACATCATTTTCAAATAAACAGCCGCTTCTTTTTTTTTCATTCTGCTCAAATTAGCTAATCATCAATTTACGGTGCGAGGCAAATAATAGCAATTACAATTGTAGCAATTACTTGTGTGTACGCGCGACGGTGGTTAAACGCTTTTTTTAATAAGCGCATTTATCAATGCAAAACGTGACAATATTCGATTAGATGTGTACTGTTAATTCGAATCGAGAGTGGCTAGAATGAGCGAGCACGGTTACAATGTGTAGTTATTAGTTCGACGTGCAATGCTCGTTCAACATGTGTATCGGTTTCAAACACATTTCGTTCACTTATCACTGGCGTCTCTTGCTTATTGTCTCTCGCGACCACATTCAGTAATAGTCGTCGTCATGCTGGCATTGCCCACGACGTGATCTTTGTATGGATTGCTTTGTTACCTTCGAAAATTCATTATCAATGAATAAATTGGCCAAACAATCAATTTCATTTTTTTTCGCGCTCGCAAAGACGGAAAAACTCAACTAGATATTCAAAAACAAATAGTCAAACACGATGAATTTTGCTAGCGTTGAGAGAATAAAAAAAACTCCATTGATTGACAGCACGAGCATAAAAGGCAATGTTTCTCTCTATTTGCGAATATGAAATAGGGCGAATTGAAAGGTGAGCTATGAAACTCACAAAATATGGTTGTTTACAATCAAATTCAAATAACCAAATTTGTGCACACAAGTTATACGGCATGAGAAAAAAAAACACGCGTTTTGAAATAACAAAAAAAGCACGCACAAAAACGAATCGAAGCGATGAAAAAAAATTGAATGAAATGACAAGTTGGCATATGATCGTTTGCCATCTTTATGGATTGACGTTCTGACCGAAATACCAAAGACCAATACCGTGTACGTTTCGTTACCTGGGCGCTTGTTTTACCATTTAAAATTAAAACGCGCTGCGAAAATGCGATAGCAATTTTTACAAAATGCTAGAATATGGTTTTATCAAATTTATACACAAACACTAGAGTGCAGTGGAGCGAGTACGCATATGCATCGAGTCAAAGCCACCAAACCATTTTTATGGTCGATTTATTGGCTAGAGCGATCACAAGCACGATTGAAGAGAGACGCGAGTGATTGAAATTTAAAAAAAAACCGTCAAACAAAATCTGCACAAATGAAACCATAAAAAGATAGACCTGCCCATGTTGGACAATATCGAGTCAATGAAATTCGATGTGTTTTTGTTTGGTTTTTCCTTGGATCATTCTTGTTTGTGGCTGTTGAATATTCTCTATCTTTCACTCTCCTTCTCTATCTTTGATTGTGTCGATGCACTTTGCAAGCGTAGAATTAAGCGCGCATTTTGGCTAAAGTTGCAAAGGCGTTTATTCATCATTTTCGATATGTGTTTTCATTCTAATGAATATCGCGTTTCGATGTACGCGCGCACACATATTGCAAATGTTGCGGTATTGTGAGCGCGCGCTCTTTAATATTACACAAGAATCTCTCTAACAAACGCACATTTATGGCAAACAGAAAAATTATCAACACAACAGTAAACTGTGAAAGATCAAATTGAAGAGAGCAAAAAAAAAACAGTCAAACGACCGAAATCGATTCGCATTCGCCAATTATAATTTTCGAATATATTTACTTACATTGGTTGTTAATTACACCTTTTGTTCGGTGGTTACAAAAACATAAAATATATCAAAATGCACTATGCATGCATTAGCAACGCGATAGGTGATATCTAAACTCGCATTTATATAAAAAGCAACCAAATGAGGCAAAGATGAAAGCCCGAGATAGCCCGTGGCGAAACGTGTTCGTTGATTGAATTCAAACAGGAAAGACTGTCGACAAGTTCATAAAATAAATTTTCGCATGTGCATTACGAACGACAACGAACAAAAAAAAAGACACGCGAATAAAACAAAAAACCAAAACCAACACACAAAATTGAATCATTAAAAAGAGTGTCACACTGTTACGAACTGCAATAGTGATATAAAAATTCCATCGATAATTTTGCACCGTCTCTATATATACAATTAATTTGGTGGCGGCAAGTCAATAAAAATTAATATATTTTTTTTTGTAACTGCGTTAAATCGTTCGTTACTTTATTCGCGCAAATGAAAATAAAGTTGTCTTAAAATGCACTCAAACACATTCCGATGTGACGTTAATTGGCTACTCTTATTGAAATTACATAGATTAATTGTTTGTTTTTTTTTTTCAATTTTACTATGTATAGGCAATTGGACACGTCTCAGGGGGTCATATAAACCCAGGTATGATTTTTTTTTTTTGTAAATTTTATGTTCATATTTGTTAAATGTATGGCCGTTTTGTTTAGCTGTAACGGTTTCTCAGCTAGTGACGGGTAAAATTAGTGTGGTTCGTGCTTTGCTCTACATTTTGCTGCAATGTTTGGGTGCTGTTGCTGGTTCAGCCAGTTTCAAAAGCTTGGTACCGGATTCGTATCACAACGGTTTAGGGCATACGAATTTAGCAGAAGGATTGACTCCATTGCAAGGACTTGGTCTCGAATTTTTCCTCGGTTTCATTCTTATTTTTACCGTTTTTGGCGTTTGCGATGGCAACAAACCAGGTTAAATTCCGTTTTTTGATCAATACATTTTGAAACGAATTCAATCAAATTAAATATGTTGTTCGATTGTAATCGATCTAGACTCGAAATATGTTGGTCCATTGGCGATTGGATTGGCGGTTACCGTCGGACATTTAGGAACCATCAAATACACTGGTAGTTCGATGAATCCGGGTGAGTTTGATTGATTTGAGCGAAACGCAATAGATCCAAATATGTCCAAATATTTTCATTGAAATTATATCGATTTTGTAAAATTTGAATTGTATCTTCTTCAAATATTGAATTTAGCTCGAACCTTTGGAACAGCAGTAATTACTCAAACTTGGGATAATCATTGGGTGAGTATACTGGCAAACAGAGTCTTTGAAATGTAAAATGTTGAAAAATCTCCACACATAAGTACTAAAATAACAGATTAATCGTCTGTTTTTTTATCGAAATCGTTTGTTGTTCATCAAACATTTCATGTATTTTGCAATTTTTTCATCTCCAAATTTTATTTTAAAAAAGATCTACTGGGCTGGTCCGATCCTTGGTGGAATTGTGGCATCATTGTTGTACACACAAGCTTTCAGTGCACCAGACGTTGAGGTTGATCGCAGTGAAAAGTATCGCACTGATGCAAACGAAAAAGAGGTGAGATCAAGAACACTTGTACTATAAAGCACATTTAAAAAAAGAACTAACTGAAAAAACGCACACGGTTAACGTGAAAGAAAAAAAAACGAACCACGAATGGGACAATAACCGTTATCAGTTTGGAATCAGTGAAATGAGCTCATTCGGGTGAACTAAATAAAGTAAAAAAAAAAACAAAATTCAAAGATTCGCCATCATATACATAGAATATTAGCTCACATCACATACCACCATTTATTTGCCAATACTCATCGAAATACTCAGTGCATTTTGTATATTATGTTTTAAATGTGCTAAAAGTCAAAGGGGCTTTTATCTCTTTCTTAAGCATTTCATCTATCTCTTTCCGTATAGCTGAAATGTTGCTATAAATATAAGTGTATTAATATTTTTTTTTATATGTCTGTGTGTTATTTTTGTCTCGTAATATATGAGTATTCCGATTTGTCTGTTGTTTTTTTATATGTTTCCGTTTGGATACAGAAAACGGACCTATTAATTTTGTGTATCGATGAAAATGAAATAAATGTAAATACAATGTAGTGTTTGTATGTCTCTCTCACTCTCAGAATCTGTGTCATCCACACTCTTTCTCTCGCTCTCTCGTTCTGATACTGTCTCTAATCATTTTAAAACTATTCTTTTTTTAGGAGAAATATTTAGACATCAAGTACATTGATGACGTTTAAAATGAAATTATGAGCGTTGATCTATCAATCGCGAAAAATGCGCTAGTGCCAATCAAATGTTATTATTGTTGAATTCATTCATATTGTTTAATTTTGGTTTGCATAAATAAAATAATCCGTGCTTTTGTGAAACTTCTGCCCGTATTTTGAGACAAGAAAACAAAAAAAAAACAAATCGTTTATATAAATAAATAAGAGATATCATCAATTACAAAAAAACTATCATAAATTATGACAGCCATCACTCAACTCGATAATCCCAACTGAAATTATCAGTTATCAAAATGTACGTAAAACGGTTTTTATGCATTGGCGTGTGTATATTGAATTCCTTAGTGTCATGCTCATTCGTTTGTGTTTTTTTTTGTTGTTCGCATGTGACGCATATACTCCAAACTAATGATGCAAGTGACCGGGTTACTTGATTGGAACCATTCATTATGCTAGAATTTTAATATTTTTTTTCTCCTTTTTTTAAATGGTTTTGTATGATAAGAGCACCTGAGTGGTTTGAATGTCAAATTCCTACGATTACAATTGATTTCAATTGAGCTTGTGCTTGTGTCATTCAGTGATCATTGTTCAGTGTTTATTTTTAACTGGCTTGAAAACACTATTTCCATTACTCAATTCCTCAATAGAAAACAGACATCATTCACACATCTACATTTTGCTTAACACTTTTCGCCTACTAATTTTGCCATTGCATTTATATTTTAATGCTTAAGAGAAATCCACATGAAGTTTTATGTATATATACCAGTTTTTGTTTAACGTAGAATGATGAATTTTCAAATTGAAATCTAGTTTTTACATTTCAAATGGATTTTTATTTCACTTTTTTGCACATCCAAATAAATTACATGCATGCAACATTCACAAAAGTAAATATATCCGGCTCGCTTCACATGGTTGTACATTAAATGTTTTGGGGAGGTTGGAAAAAATGACTAGTGGCTGGAGGGAACTGGCGTTATGATTCTTGCGGATTTATGGCAGCAGTAATATGTTTATGTCAAAAATGAGATTAAATGTAGAGGAAATTTTTAAAAGATAATGTTTGGTGTATCACCCCTGCGAGTGAAACGATTCTTTCATAATATTTCCAGCAAATCGAGAAATTTTTCCAAAATTCAATTTTAATAAAGGCTCTATTTTCTAGGCGTCCGATTTCAATAACTAGGTCAAGAATTATCAAAAATCATTCACGATCATGATCTGTGAACAATTTGTTCGCCGGTTTCAAGAAATCGGACTCGATTGTGATCAGACGTCTAGGAAATAGAGTTTTTAGTTCCACTAGATCAATCAATCCTCAGGCAAAAAATGTGCCAAATGGTAAACTTTACAGAACTCCAGTGACACTCCTCTCTCCAACTGATTATGATCAACCATTTGTTAATTACAATTGGTACTTCAGTACCTCGAGGCTTAACTCGTGATTTAGATGATTGATTGTCACCCCAGCTAATCACTAAACACTTAAATAAAAAAAAAACAAATAAAGAAGTGTCAAAGTATAAATGAAACTCTAAAACTCTGTAGTAACAAAATAGCGATGGGAAATAGTATCGTATATTCCCCATACAAATTAATTTTATCGGATCTACGAATACGACATCTGTTAAAAAAGATACCGATTTTTGTTACTACTGTTGCTTTGACACAGCTCAAACGAACTCTTCGGCTATGGCTGTATTACAGATGAACTAATACAAAAGAACACACAGACTCCGATCCTGTGTATGCGTATGTATTGTAAATTTTGCACAAGCAGCTACGATTGACGACTGAGTGCAGAGATTTGTAATACATACGCATATACAGAATCGGAGTCTGTGTGTTCCTTTGTACGTTTACACGAGCTGTATTAAAACACCACTAGTAACAGAAATCGGCGAGTTTTTTAGTAGATGTCGTATTGGTGGAATCGATAAAGAAAAATCTACGATATTAGCGCTCATTGCAAAATAGCAAATAATATCTTACTCCATTGGCGCCGATTTGAAGCGATGCAAATTTATTTACTTGAAAATTGTTCACCTGCATATATTTCATTTAATTTGCATTTAATTTTGTTCGTATGCACCAAACTTATTCAAACCAACAACAACAACAACCAAAATCACAAATTTAAAATGAAAAATATAATCAGCGATCGTGTAAATAGAGCGAATATCACACATCAATGTTATGTCTTCATTTGGTCTTCTTTCTCTTTTCAGCTTCGGCGTCTAGATCGTGTCGCTTAATTTTCTCTCTTTAATTTTCTCTCGTTTTATGATGATTAAGTTCGTAAAGAAAATGAATAAATTAATAATATAATTTGCACACAGAATACATACATCTCATGAAAATGGCGCAATGAAACTATACCGAAAAGATTGTATTCCAAAATATTTTTCATTTACTATTTTTTTTTTAAAGCACACACAAAATTTTTGAAGAAAATGCAGTGAAACTAACTTCCACAAATGTATTTCATAAATTAATGCATTGTAATATGGCCTCTTCGCAGCCGCGTTAGTGATTAAGTTCGAAATAAATAACAATTTAATCCGAACATTTTGAAGAAATTTGTGAAATGAATTTTACCACAATGACAATTTTGCATCATGAAAAATTCAATTTTACCATTTTTTGTCCTAAATAAAATTTTCATCAACCGGCTTTTCGAGATTACTTTTAATTTAATGGGTTTTTTTCGACTTTTTTGCATTTTATTTTCTTTTTGGTAAAATTTATTGATGTAAGGATCAGATGCATTTAAATTGAATCGCAAAAGACAAACAGACAAATAATGATCAACCAAATTTTACATTTGCTGCATTTAAATACAGAGTTATTTCTATTTACAAGAAACATTTCTTTTATTGATTGTTTTATTTTGATGATGTGACAAAAGCATTTTTCAATAGGTAAGTTTGCACTTTTAATTTTCCTATACAATTTAAGGTAATCAACACAATTGGGAAAATTAGACACAAAAAAATATTCCATTTTTTTCAATATTCTTATATTAATAAAAAAAATCTCAATTAATTCTCAATCTTTCAAATTTTCCGCCATGGGAATAGTGTTTTAAAAAATAATGACTGACATTCACTGATTTTGCGACCAGATTATTCAATGGCTCACAATCTGTTTGTAGCAATTTAAATTTTCATAATAAGCACGGTATGCATGACACCGCATTCATATGCAGCTGCAAATACTTCTATTCTACTGGAGAGCCTATACCGTGTGCATTTCCATTTTATTTCCTAAAATACAGATTGAATCCAATGAAATATAAATTGAACACTGGACTTGATAAACGCAAAATAAAATGAAAAAAAGCAAAATGACTCAAAACGTGTTTCTAACTTAAAAAGAACTGAAATGTGAAAGTTATTCCAAGTTATCTTATGATTACTAGAATTTAAACTAAGTTAAAGTTTCGACGATTCATCTAAAATGTTGATGTCTCAGTAGAGAGATGTCGTTACGATTACTTTTTCTTTGGTGACGTTGTTTCTTTTTTAAAAATCATTTGTCCGCCGCGCATTTCAATTTTTCCCTCTTTCGTCAGCGCCTCAATTTGTTGTTTGGTCATTCGAATTTGTTTTACTTTCACCAATTTATTGGCGAGTTTTGGTGGCGATCCGGTTGTTTTTCCTTGTTCCGTTTTAACTGTGGGCAATGGGATGAGTTTTTTCAATGTCGTTGGTGTATTTGGTTCGTTTTGTTCATTCGATTTTGATGGTTTGATGGTAAGGAATTTCGTGAGTGACGTTTGTGACGATAGTTTTTTTACCACAGTCGTGGTGGCTGGTGTTGTCGATGATTTTTCAATTGATGTCAATTTGCCGGTGATCGGTGATGTTTTGCTGGATCTTGTGCTTATTGTTTTGTCTGGTGTTTTTTCACCACTGATCACTATTCCACTTTTGTTGGCATTTTTTGCATTTATTGTTGACGCACGTGTATTTGGCGATAAATTATTTGATGTTTTCACCAAAATTTTCATGCTATTTTCATCCGATCCGGTCGATTTGCTGCTTTTTATTGTTGGTGTTGTTTTAACAATTTCTTGTTTTATTTGTTTCGCATTTGATTTTCCATAGCTTCGATTGACTGTTTTTGTTTTGGGTACTGGTGAATCGACGTGCTCCAAAATTTCGTTCGGTGTAATGATTTCAACTTGTTCGGTATATTCGATAATTTCATCGGTATCGGGTTTCACATATTCCGTGCTGTCATCGAAACTTTCATCGTTTGTATTGGACATTTCATACAATTCAATTTCTTCCAAATGTTGGGTGTCGCTGTGTTCATGCAATTGTGTCTCCGTTAAAAATATTAAATCACAAAATTCGCATGCAAATTGTTCACCTTCGGTGTGTTGTTTAATATGCTCAGATACATCGTCAACATCATCAAATGTTGTTTTACACAGCGGACACACCAAATTTTCTGTTGCATGCACCGTTGAATGTGTAACCAATTCATCACGTTTTGCAAACGATAGATAACATTCGGAGCATTTGTGAATGATTTGATTGTTTTCCTTGTGCGAACGCATGTGCCGTGTCAAATGATGGCTTAACAAATAGGATTTATCGCAAATGCGGCATGGATACGGGCGATCGCCAGCATGGGCTGTTAAATGACGTGCCAATTTACCTTGCGTTGAAAAGCCTTGATCACAATGTTCACACTTGAACGGTTGATCGGTTGAATGAACAATTTCATGACGCTCTAAACCCTGTTTAAATGCAAAACTTTTATTGCACACATCGCATGTGAATGGCCGTTTCTTTTGATGATTTTGCGTGTGCTTCCTGGATGGGGTCAGAAAAGAAAAAAAATTAACTTAAGAACTTAAATTAATCAACATGTGATTGAAAAATAATCATGGTACTTACTCCCATTCTTCCTTCGATAAAAATGGACGTTCACAGTAGGCACACAAGAATTTCGGCTGATCCGAATGGACTTTTTCATGTCTTCTAAGCAGCGTGGAACGAGAGAATGCCTTGCCGCACACAACACATTTGAATGGCTTTTCACCCGTGTGAATCAATTCATGCTTTCCCAAATCGTACTTACTGAAGAAACCCTTATTGCATACCATACACTGAAATTTTCGATCACGTACATGATTTGCTATATGAATATCGAGCAATTGACGCAACGGAAATGATCGTTCACAATAATTGCATGGGAATACATTTGTTTCGACTGGGGCGGCATTTTTTATTGGATCCAATTCGGGATCATCGCTTTCCATAATTTCGGACACAACCTCAATTTTACCATCTTCGCTGGTTTTTACGACGGACGTTCGTAGCACCGGCTCAATGGATTTTATTGTTGACGCCTGTTTGTTGAGAATTTTGATCGGCGCTGGTTTAATATTGAGTATTTTTGGCGTTGGCAAAATCTCTTCGATTATTTGCTCGTCAGCATATTCTACAACCATGTCTTCAATCGGTATTTCATTCTCGATCTGTGATGATGATGTTGTCATTAAACGCTTTGATGGTGTACTTATTGTTATTGTTTGCGGCAATTTTCGCTTCAGACTTTGAGCTGTCAATGGTTCACGCGACTCCGAAGATTTATTATTCTGGAAGATATTTAGTTTTGGTTAAGTTTTTTTTTTGTTTGATGATGGATAACATTAAAAATATAATTGGATTCCTTCTATACTAACCTGATGTAATTTAATTGGAAATTTCGGATGATCCAATCGGTCGGGCCAAACTCCAGTTAACGGATATTGTTTCAAAAGTGTGTCGGCTTTTTTACACATTTGCTTGAAACGATAACAATAATCCATTAACGCTCGACACGGATGGCATATTGTGTTTGGCATTTCATCATCGGCAAATACCTGAAAATTAAGGACATCATTAATATTTTTCCGACGAATTTAGTAAAAAATAGAACTGTTCTAGGCACCGCGAAGGTGCGGAAATTTTTCTTGTAGCAGCTGCTCTTTTTTGTATTCAAGTGTGGCACTTGGACATTTTTAGTATATAATTGGGGAGTGCGGTTACTCATTAGTGCTCGCACTTCTTTGGTGACAGTAATAGCTTCATTCAGAGTAGACTAGATTTTAGAAGAATAAACCAATATCCAATGATGGATCGCAATATTTTGAATACAATTTTAATTATTACAAAAAATCAAAATGCAATGAAATTGATGCACCTTCGGCAGCTCTACAATTTGGTAAAAAAAATTAAAAATGTAAGTAAAACCGGTGAATCCGATGAATCTGTTAAAAAAGTGTTGAAAATGTCCACAAAAAAATTCATCAAAAATAAAGGTTGCGTCAGACAAAAGGTGATTTACATTCATAAAAACTTCTTTTTATAATTATGAAAAAGAAAATGAATATCCATTTTCCAAAAAAAAGTCATTTTGGCGCGATCAATGTAAGTGAAACAAAACAATAAAATAGCAACGAGCCCACAAACCGTCGGGTTTGTGTTGAGTGTTGATCTTAAAACCGATGCTATATACCTCTGTTCCATATGCACACACCCATCATCGTGAGCATCTCGTACTACAAATGTTTTGTGTATTGGGCGCTGTTTGTTTCAAACAAGAGACACATATACACAACACGTATGGTACGCCATATTGGATGTAGACGATGTGAATGAGTTTGCATTCGATAACATTTTCCCAATACATACACCATTGAGATGATGAAGAAGAAAAAAAATAATACTAAAACAACTTTTTGGCTTGAATATCAACATTGTTGTCTTGATTGCCTTTCGAACAGGATCTATTTTTTTTCTCGTCGTAAACGGATATTGATTAAACTATCAAATGTTAATTTCTTTCAACGTAAATGAAAGAAAAACAAAAAAAAAATACACTTAAACACTCTGGGTCAATGAAAAAAAGGCTAAAATTCGAATCGCATTGTTAACATACCTCAATTGAAACGCATGCCATAATTTGCATGCTAAGCGATGCTTGTGAATTGGCATTCGATTTGGTCGAATAAATATTGGTCAATGTATCATCTTGTGTTAAACAAAAACGGCAAACGGGCTTCTCCTTCAGCTCGGCCGCATAACCATTTTCATCATAATCGACCATAATTAAGCCGGACCGGAATTTTATTTTCTCTGTCGTTTTTTCTTCTAACTAATTCTACGCCACAAATACAAACACTATACGAAAAAAGAAACGGATTGGTTTTTTTTATTTGTTTGAAACACGCATATACACAATTTACGAGTTTCTTCAAAACAAAACCGTAATGAACAGTGACAATTTGTCGCAGAATTGTGGATATGATTTGTTGAGAAACTACCATCAAATTCATCAATCCAAAACAATGATGTACACTTGAATGACACAGTATTGTCAAATTCACCAGCGCGCACGCATCAACACACAGAGACGAATGAGAGTGAGTGAGATGAAGAGAGAGAACGAACGGTTACACTGGTGAATATATTGGATGTATATGGTAAGTATATTCATATCGATAGATGGCGCACATAATTCATTTCGGTTCGGTTTACGTATGAAATGCGATGGAAGGTGCATTCGGTATTCATTTTGCCGTTTCTCATCAAATTTAAACACATTTTCAAAAAACTGTCTTACAAACGAATTAATACAAACACTTTTGATTTCGAATTAGAAAAGAACATATCTGTTTTTCTTTATTATATTTTTGAGAATTTTTTTTCAATTTTCAAATTTTATTTATTTACTGTTCGGTTTTAAATAGAATTTTCTAGTTTTACAATTCTATTACGTTAAGCAAATATGTCCTGCTTTGGAAAAAAACGAGCATTAGCATTAGTATCGCCTGCTTTTATTCTTTCAATATTACGCTTGTTATATGTTTTATTAAAAAAAAATTATCGCTATATTTCGCAAGTAAATTAATTAAATCGCATCGACACTGATAATAAAAACCAGTATGTCTGCTGGTCTAGAGTCCAATAATGTTTCTTTTTCTTTCGTTTCGTTTGCTTCCTATAAAATAATAGATTACATTCTATCTTTAAAATACAAACACACCCATGTCTCTATACTGCCTTGACGGCGTATTACTCTCTTTTCATATTATTATCAATAATAACAATAATGACTAAATGGCTAAAATAAGTAAATAATTTTGCTGCATATTATTTGCTGTCTGAAATTCAAAGATGACCTCACTTTCTGCGACTTCTGCTTTCTTATTTTATAAATATGGACTTTGATTATATTATATTCCCAAGTTTATTTTTTCAAAAAAATAAAATAAAAAATCAATTGGATTTTTCGATGCGTATTTTTAAATCGTTCAATTCATGAGCAATTTCGGGTGGAAGATCGCTGCCAACTTGTTCATCGAAATATCTGATAATGTCGTCTATTTCTTTTAACCAGAATTCTTTTGGTATCGAAAACAGTTCATTGACATTGATTTCATCTTGGAGCTGTTCCACATTCAAACTACCATCCGACGGAATATAACCAATTGCGGTTTTTTTGGCGCACGATTCATTGTTGATACGTTTGAGAATCCATTCCAAAACGCGAATATTATCACCATAACCAGGCCATAGAAATTGGCCATTTGCATCTTTTCGGAACCAATTGACATGGAATATTTTTGGGGGTTGCGCACCATAGGAATGGGCACGTGTTTCCATGCTCAACCAATGCTTTAAATATGCACCTGAAAATGAAGCGCATAAAATCATCAATATTTCGTCCAAATGTTTAGTAGAAAAAAATTGAAATAAAAAAAAATATCATGTAATACCGAAATTATAACCGAAAAATGGTCGCATTGCAAACGGATCATTCATAATGACTTTTCCTTTGTGTTCAGCAGCCGCTGTTGCTTCGCTGCGCATTGTTGCACCCACAAATACACCATGTTGCCATGAAAATGATTCGTATACCAATGGTACGCCGTTTGGACGACGTCCTCCAAATAAAATCGCACTAATTGGCACACCATCCGGATTTTCCCAGTTTCTATCAATAATTGGACACTGTTTGGCGGGCGTACAGAAACGTGAATTTGGATGTGCTGCTGGTGTTTTTGTCACCTTTGGAATCCATGGTTTACCAAGCCAATCGGTTATTTGCACATCATTAGTCAATGTATCTTCCATGCCTTCCCAATAAACACCACCATCAGAGGTCGACGCAACATTTGTGAAAATTGTGTTCTTGAAAATTGTTTTCATCGCATTTGGATTCGTTTTATTCGACGTACCTGGGGCTACACCAACTGTAAAGACATTTAAATAAGAAAAAAACACTTTCTTATAAAATAATGTGTTAATACTTACAAAATCCATTTTCCGGATTAATAGCTCGCAATTGTCCATTTTCATCGTATTTCATCCAAGCAATATCGTCGCCAATACACTCTACTTTGTAGCCGGGTAGCGATGGTGTTAACATAGCCAGATTGGTCTTTCCACATGCCGACGGGAAGGCGGCTACAATATATTTTTTCTCTCCCTTTGGATTGGTGATGCCCAAAATAAGCATGTGCTCGGCAAGCCATCCTTCTTTCTTTGCAATCGTGCTACCAATACGCAAAGCAAAACATTTTTTACCCAACAATGAGTTCCCGCCATATCCCGAGCCGTACGATACGATTTCGTTTGAGGCCGGTTTATGTAGAATGATTGTGCGCTCGGGGTCACATGGCCACGAAGGTTGTTCAATTTTTCCGTTTGCCGGTGTACCGACCGAATGTAAGCATCGAACAAAATCACAATTGCTACGCAATAGATCCATCACCGCTGCTCCCATTCTCGTCATAATGCGCATCGAGCAAACAACATAAGCCGAATCAGTGATTTCAATGCCAATTTTCGATAATGACGATCCCAATGGGCCCATTGAAAATGGCACCACATACATTGTTCGACCACGCATACATCCCGGAAATCGATTGGAAATCGCCATTTTCATGTCATTTTCCGATATCCAATTGCCCAATTTACCGTCGACATTCAATTTTGCCGTTGGAATCGCTTCATCACGTCGGTTCGTACAAATGAATGTTTTCGATTCAACACGAGCCACATCGGCCGGATTTGTTCGTGCCAAATAACAATTATCGTACTTTGGTAATGGCACAATTGTTCCTTGATTTTGAAGTATACGCAACAACATGTTATTTTCTCGATTCGTGCCATCACAAATATGAATGCTTTCTGGTTGGCATAGCAGTACACTCTCTTCGATGAATGCTCGAACTTTCGGCGATAATGCATCAAGTTCTCCTTTTGCCACTGGAAAACCACGAATATGATTGTAAAGTCCAACATTACTGGTCGTTGCACATCGCGATTTTATATATGACCTGAATTATTGGGTAAATTGAGGAAAAACATAAAAAAAAAAACGATTTTTAGTACGATGTTGCCGAAATAATTTTTTTGTACAATAATTTTTAAAAAAATCGAAGAAAAGTTTCATGAAAGGAGGAATAACTTTAGCATTTAATATCGATTTTGTTGGAATATCATTTAAACAGACGACTATTGCATCAGCTAGAATACAGTCGATGATCAATGACGAAATGTCATATGCGTTCGTTGAAATTATTTTAAGCAATAAAAGCTTGGGGTGCTTTCAGTGCACTCACATCTCACAGTTGAAAGACACAATAAATATTAAAATAGGATTGAGAATGTAAAGATGTAAATTTAAACTAGACAAACTGGTGCGCAGTTTTGTTTTAATTACGAAAATGCATCGAATACAAGTGAATGTAAATTAAAATTCAAGATTTTTGCTCCCAGGAAGTTTTTAATATCTCTAATGCCGAGACGATAAAAGCCAATGGGCAATTAGCGGTTGATTGATTTGAAGTCCGGATTTGATTTGACTTTCAGGCATTGTCTAATTTCAAAATGTGCGACAAAAAAAATTGTTTCAACTTACGATGTGTTTGACACTTTTTCGATGAGTTCAGGCATTTCGGCTTCTGGGGCAGTACTTTTTGCACGGACACAAAATGTTACAAAGACGCGTAGATTTTGTGTCGCTCTCCAAATGATGAGAGCCGTTGTGAATCGAAATTCGCAAATCGAAAAAACCCAACAATTGCAGGTTAAAAAAACACTCTCAAATTTTGTTTGTTTTGCGTACAAAAATTCGTTCAAACGTTGCAGCTTTTTCCACAGCGATTCAAATGCGGCCGAAATGTGAGCACCAAATACAGATTTTCACAGAATCCACACTTTGAGTATAAACGAAATTTTAGAATTTTCCGCGCAGCGATTTTATTCATTTAAAAATTGTCTGTTTTTTTAGTTTCTTTTGAATTATCCGTTAAACGATCGAAGTCTTAGGACTGTCGAATATTAGTGATATTTTCAAAAAAAAGTAGTTTTAATCGACAAAAAATTTAAATGCTCTGCAAAATATGCTCGATAATCACTTGACTGATTTTGCCAGATTTACGTTTCTTTTTCGAATTGAATATTTTTCTCTTTATAAACACACACACTATCGGGTAATTTCAGAAAGAACTGAAACGATTGCGTTCGTTGAGCGCTCTGAGGATATGTTCGGCTGTACATCGCCTTTTATAGAAAGCAGTGACACGCACACGACGGTAGGCTTTTTTTCTCCGTCATGTTTTTGGATTGAGAGCATTTTCTTCTCGTTGTTGTTGTTTTGTAGCCTATATCTGTTGACAAGTCGATGTTATTTTTACACACAAAAAAATATGCGGTCAAATCAAATGAAGATGCGTTTATTCAGAAGAGTGCGGTCAAGTTTAAACTCAATTCGGTCATATTTTCATCATGTTTCTAATTTTATGTTTTAGAAAAAGGTTTTTTTATCACTTTTTTATGTAGATCAGATTTGAGATCAAAATCTTAGATTTTTGATCTTAGTGTATCTTGGATTTGATATTTATCTCAGATCAAGATATAGATTGATTTTTGAATTTTTCTCAGATCTAGATTAATCTTATATCTGATTCGAAATATACTTTTAAATTCAAGTCCAAATACCGCATTCATAGTAAATTTGACCGCACACTATTGAATAACTACATCTTCATTTGATTTGACCGTATACTTTTTGTGTGTATGATGACCGAAACATTGTCTTTGCATTGGAGAAGAGCGCGCACAATTGTACGTTTGTGTAGATACAAAAACAAAAACACACATTTACTAATACATACCGAATTTGGTCGAATGTTCCATAACCGTCGATCGACAGTCGATTTCAGTGTAAAGAAGGAAGAAAGTAGTTTCGTGTAATTGTGTTTACATGCCCTGAGAAAAGCGACATATATGCGATAATATTATACTCTTCCGAGCACGCGTGTGTGTATCGGGGCGCACGGCCTCAAGACAAAACATACGATTGAGATTGACAGAGGCATATTCGATTTATCAATGTAATCCATGATTGGTGCGGCGAAGAGGCTCGTTATCACATATATACATGCACGCATATTATTTATTATGTTCGTTCTCTCATGTTTTTCCACACGAATCACTTATTTTCGCGCCCAGATTTCAGACGTATTCAATTTGAATAGAAACACACACAAAAAAAAACAATAACATATGATTCGTGTGCGGCGATCAACAGTTGCTTGTTGACAATTTTGCCTTTCAAAGCACTTATACCAAAACAAGTTTTCGGGTCGATTGACTTTTAATAAATAATAATACGATAACATATCGAGATCTTCGCAAAAATATCGGATGGAACAAGAAAATCGACCAACAAAATAGAAATAGAAAGAAAGAGGGGGGAAGGGAAATACATCGTCAAAAGTATAAAGACGACGAACAACAACACGACGCAATATACAACAACAACCGTACCGTTCATGGCGAAACAGCTGATAACACAATTGTTTGAACTAATATCACCGTTCTTTCGAGTTTTTAAATTAATCAACAAATATATTGTAAATACGGTGTACGTATATGTATATTCGAGAGAAATCGATAACAAACCAACGGAACTTTGAACCATCTATTCATATATTGTGTTTATTATAAATCATTCTCCACATTTTAAACTTTTCTAGCGCTACTTCTCAAAGTGTGTTGATTGAAGAGAAAAAAGTGCCCATTGATTAATGTACACTTTGGATAGCAACAGAATTAAATCAACAACGCATTCCGATTGCAGTTCGAATGAAGTGAAAAAAATTGACTTCGATTAAAACGAAGAAGATCACTGGCATTGTTGAAGCTCTGATTGCTTCCTGTTTGGCTGTCGATCATAAAATAAAACTTTCCAGGGAGAGAGCGAAAAAAGAGAGAAAGAGATGAAGTGGGCGATAGCAAGAGTGAAATAGAGATTGGCAGCAGAAGCGGGTATAGTAAGAGAGAGAGGCAAAAGATGGAGAACACAATCAAACAAACAAACGGGCACAAAATACAGGAGCAGAAAATGGAAAATTCCCCGCGAAGCTGAAAAAAACTGACAACAAAACACTTACAGCAGAAAAAAACCCTAGCTAGTTTGTACTATCGCAAATGAGGCGACGACGCGACATGAGTGAATGTATTGGTGTGCAAAAAGCCGATTCTATTGCAATGCAGCTTAAACGAGTAGAAAGTTCAACAGAATCGATCCCTATTTTCATAGATACGAAATATTGTCTAGACATTCAAAGCCAAACTGATCATCTCAAAGGTCACAATTCGAACATCTCGACAAACATTAGTATACAACGAAAATCCTGTCGAGCTACTTTATGGATTCAATTGAAAATTGATTTGCAAAGCTCTTTTTGCAGCGTTTATGAAACGAAAACTGAACCCTTGATAGAACGCCTTTAGATTTAAAACGTTTACTCTTGCAAACAGATTAAATCGACTTTCGCCAACTTGTCGGTTATTTAACTAGCATTTTTGACGATCACTTTTGTGAATGTCCCATCACGTCACAAATTCTTAAGAAAATTCTGTTTTTTTCTGAGTCGTTTTTTGTGTCCCTTATTTTTATGGGTTGAAAAACAATTATGCTGTTCAATTCCATGCACACAATTGTCTCATTGCTATATAAGGGCTATCTAATATGATAGTATTCTTTTGCTTTCATAAAAATGGCTGCTGAAGTGCAATTCCTCCGTATCCGATAAAAAATATTATAACAGTCAGTAAAATTGGTGTGGCCTAATTTTGATGTTTAATCTGAAGCTAAATGCACAGTTAAAAACCAGTCTCGATGATTCAATTTCTGGTTTAATTTTTTTTCGTATTTATGCGTCTAATTGTCCATATATGCATAAAATAGTTCTTAAATACCCATCAATTTCGATGGAATGTTTTCAAAAATTTCGAGAATTCATTTCTGTATACAATACTCAAATCTAAGTGTTCTTTGATTAAAAGTTGGTCTTTGATCTTTCTCCCTCTTGCCTTATGTGTTACACTGTAACGGTCTATGAGTGAATTTATGTTTTGTTTCAGATTAAATGGCCCTTTTTAGTAAGCTCATCGGTTCTGGAAATTTTATGAATGAACAAAATGTATTAAAATATTAAAAACATCCACCAAAATCGATATGATCCGCATTTTATAATAAAAAAAACTCATTTTATTATAAAGTTTTGCAGTCAAAACAATATATTATAAAAAAGCCGACTTCAAAGATCATTGTTTTTTTTTATGTAACACATTTTCTAATCAGTTCAATTCGATCTTTCCCCTGAACTGAAGTGTAAACAATTGCATGGGATGAAAACGGAAATGTCATTACATTTGTATAATTAAATAATTCCACTAGAAAAATTGAAATGAATATGCAGTTTCTCATTTAAAATGAGCTGATGCAACAACGTTGATCAGTTGAAGAGAAATGAATACGTATTTTTGGAATAAATACTTGGCAACTGATATCGATCATTAAAAGATTTGAACTATGCGTACATTCGACCGCCATCAGTGCAGTGACTTTAATTAAATTGGCAGATAGGCAGACCGAAAAAAATATATGACCTTTCTTAAGGCACATTGGTCAATGATACGCTGATCCTATCACTTCTCTTTTTCTATAGTAAAAGGCCCGCAAATTGCGTGGCGACAATAAATTACATGCTCTTGAAAAATATTTACAAGAAAAGTATTTGCATCGGCTCATTTTTATGAATTTTAAACAAATTTTTATCATTTTTAAATTAATGATATTGCACATAACACTTCTAGAAAGTCACAGTTCACCTTTCTTTCTCTACTCAAAGAAAAAGAGTTCGTATAAAATCTCCGAAAACTTTGGAGGACGAGAGATTTGGAATTGAGTGAATGGCTGTAATTGAAAAAAAAAAACTCTCTCTTTCCGAAAATTAAAAGAAGATCAAAAATCAGATCATAAAAAATCGCCTATTCCTTCTTGGTGCTCTTCAAATATTTTTGCGAGTATTAACACTTTGTTGTCATTTTAATGATGAAAAAAAAAAAACAAAATATTAAATAATTTCATTCGAAATTCCGCGCAAACTGGCACTCCATGAAATCTAATCGATATGACGTGCAAAGTGCGGAATGTATATATGAGGTGTAATGATGACCAAAAAATTGTCCATATGGGACTTGATGGTTTTATCATCATGGAAGTATGCTTCATTAGCATAAAATTGATCTTACCAAATCTGACTGTTGTTTCCACAAAACAAAAAAAACATTAAAATTGTGAATGTATTCCATATTTTCCGTAAAATCTGTTGAGACAGCAACAAATAAGTTTTTGTTTACATCTTGTGTATAATTTGATGAGTGCATGCAGAGAGAGGATCGGTTTTTTGCTCTTTCACAGATTCACTTATCTCTGTCTAAAGTGATGGAGTATTTTTCTTTATAAAAATGTACAGACAAAATTGTTTTCACTTGGTTCGATTTGGCTTTGACGTGTGCGAATGCATTCAATGTATGTTTGCTAAATATAATATCAAATAAATCTAATTTCAAAATTATATCAGTGCATCTTAGCCGAATTAAAATTGCCATTTTTTTACTTCACGGTGGGCATGTCATGCTCCCGTTCATTTCAAATGTATTTACTGATAACGAGGCGATTTAAATAAGCGAATTAAATCGGATTATCAATTTGAGGGAAAAGAATGAAAAAATTTCGAAGAAAAAAAGAGTGTGATAGACACGAAAACATGTTTTTTATTAAGTGATGATGGGGGGCATTTTTCTATCAGTCAACCGATAGTCGTCTTTTTGCAAGTGATAATCAATGCGTAATGAATTCAATTCATTTTGTTTGAAAAATAAAGCTTCATTATCGTCACTTCACCAATCTGCCCTGACGTACAAACAAAACAAACCAAGACACAGACACACACACACAAAAAAAACGAGTGAAAAAAAACCAACGCACACTTAATCAAATATGACACCAGCCTTCTGTATTTAGTGTCACAAATGTTGCGCATCTTAATACTTTCAACAACAATATTTTGTTTTGTTTTTAGACATTTAATGCTCGCCAAAATGACCTCGTTTTATTTCAACGATAACAGTTTGCACGAAGACTCATTGCTTAGAATTAAATAACTGTAAACTTTTGAAACTAATAAACAATACTCATGACAGATTTGCTTAGTTTTTTTTGATGAAGTGACAAACAAAATGATGACAGGCGCATTTTTTAAAAATGTCACTCATTGGCACAATATGAACATACAAAATAAATGTTGCGAGTAATAGAGATTCTATTGCATTGACAATTGGCAAGTCACAAAAAAAAACCCGTGCTCTTTCCACTTTCCAATACACGCCAAACAGCCAAAATAATTGTGAAACTAAAATATACATACGAATTAGAACCGTGGCCGAAAAGTATGGCATCAAGTCAAAATCAATCGCCAGATTTGGCCGAGAGAAGATCATGTCCGGAAAATCAAACATTCTACTTGGATTCGATTAGCAAATCAATTCACAAAATCGTCATCAATTCAAATAACATGCGATTCAAATCCGATGTCAGTAAAGCATTGAATGTTAAAATTAGCCGACGAAAGAAATCGGTACAGAAGAGAATCATAAATTTATTGAAGACCAATTATGAAAATAACGGACCCCTGGAAACAAATTCCAACGATGACATCAGCACATCACAACAAGCAGCATCACAAGAAATTTCACTGTCTCAAGAATTCTTTCGAGGTCTACAAGGTAATCAAACAAAAGCGTTTTGTTTCACTTGAAAACGAAAAAACTTTTTATTCATTTGTTGTGTTTCTTTAATTTACGTCCTATCCAACAGATTAAGGTGGTTTCGACAGTCAAAACTCAAACATTTATTTGTTTATTGAACACAATTTATTACTCTCGCTATTGATTCGTCAAAATAAAGCATCGATGACAGAAATCATAATGCACTTTTCTTATATAATTGCGATAATTATTGTATTTCGATTAGATATAGAAAAAACAAATAAAAATGAATCAACAATGAGAAAAAAAACAAGCACATTTTTTTATTAAAAATTTTGATACTTAATTATCGATAAAAGCGCCTAAATATTAATTTTCATTTTAAATATTTGTTCATTATTAGATTTGCCTATCAAAATCTCCGAGTCGAGGGAGGAAAAATTATTTGGTTTTCTATTTGATTGTTATTCTCATTTTTCTTTTTAATTCAGGTTTTCAACGACATTTTTTTTATCCCAGACAAGTAACTTTCATTATTCTTATCAATTTCATATGCAAACGGAATGGGCAAAGCGTGCCGTTGGCAAATTTATTAGTGTGAAAAAGTTGTGGTTGTTTTTTTGTGGAAAAATATTCTAATTATAATTTGAAATATAAAAGATCGCCATTTTCATCATGAGGCTTTCATTTCATAGAAAATTCTTTCGATAAACATCGAACGCACTTTGAATGTCATCACTGAATGTTACTTGTTTTGTGTGTTTGTGTATTTGATTTAACTAAGGGTAAAATTTATGCGACAACAATCTATTAGAGTAAACATTCATGCGACATTTTTATGAAACATAAAAACACACACACATATATATTTTACATATAAATGGCTTGTGCTTAAATTGATTTCATGAATTGTGTTTGTAGTATAGAAAAGAATTTTTTTTCATTTGATATGGTTTGCTTGACATTATTTAGAAAAATTCCTTTGCTTTCACACTATTAAGTTCGAAATTATTTTGGTGTAAATTTGTGTGATTGTTTTTTTTTTTTTGTTGCCTGGATTTGAAGCGGTGAGGAATAAATTTGACATTAGACATTTATTAGATTCCTTGAAAGGTGGCTCAAAATTGAATAAGCTTATACCAACGACAAAAAGTTACGGCACGTCTATCGGTGTTCATACTATTTGGCGTTTTTTCTCAAAAGCAATCAAGACGACAGAGACCCAGAATTTACAATTGCATAAGCTTTGGCTCAACATTTATATTTTAAATTGCATTGAAAATTTCATTAAAAAAAAAAACAGAAAAATTTGAAAATGTTCAGTTTTATACGTTTAATTTTTTTAATGAAATTTTTAAAGTTTTTTTATTAGTTTCTAAACCAATTGGAAAATTTTATTCGTTAAGAAACCTGCGATTTTTCATCTCGAAGAAATCTCCAATTTTTTTGAAATCAATAAAGTATCCATCATTAAGCTTTGAAAAGATCCATCAAATTTGATAATAAAATACTAAGTCGTGCCATAACATTTTGATCGACGGTTGATCATTGTTTTGTTCTTAATTTTTTTTTGTATTTAACTAACATTACAATTTGGCTATAAAATATTATTTATACAAAGTCCGCGCGGTGTGTCGACAATGGTATTTTCACTAATTTATAACTTACAATTTAAACTAAATATGTGTGTTTTGTGTTGGTTTGCATTAATTACACATTTTCTTTTAATTGGTAATACATAGATATATTATTTTAATTTATCTGAAATAATAATTAACATATCAATTAAACAGTATGGATCGAAAGAGGAACAACATGTTGACCTTTACGATTCGATCGTTGATTTGTGTGTTTTTGTTTCATTTCATTGAAATTAGTTCAGATGAAAAGTGGATATATTCAATTTCCATAATACATTATAGTATGATACAGTTTATAAATGTAAAAATTACAAAAAGAAGAAAAAAAAAACGGAGAAACAGGAAAAAAAGGTGTTAATAAAAAATATGTATGTATGTATTTTGTTCATGTTTCCATTTTATGTATGTTATTTCGTTGCGCCCACGTGGAGTAAAGGAATTTCTCAGCGCCGTGCTGTTTCGCATAGGAACTCAATTTAAAGTCGTCGAGAGAAATGATCATACTTTGCTCCGTGCTACAAATTCCCATTTAAATTATATACTATATTTGGTGTATGGATTTGATTCCAATATCAAAATGTGGTTCAGTCCACATGCTCATTATTCTTTTCAATGTTCAATGAATCAACGTCATGTCGGAAATTTTGTGTGTGATCTATTTTGTTTTTTTTTTGTTGTTGTTTATGTATGTGTGTGTGTGTGAAAAACATATTATGATATAAGTTCAATTTGTGACAAATATAAGTAATTATGTGTTTTTGTGAAAATATGTGTATGGGGTGGCAGTGCATATGCATTGTCAATTTATTATGCGGCCAATAGATTTCGAATGTTGGATTTCATTTACATTTTTGAGGAGAAAAATAAATAATTCAATTGGAATTGCAATAAAACATGGCGGCCAATTCGAACTCCAAAACTATGGATCTGAATAAAGTAAGTGTGGTTAGCAATAAAGTTTATTCCAGACGTATCAATCTGGCGATTTTTCTGGTATACGTATTTTCTTCGTTCAAATGTTTGGTCGTGTATCGTAATGCATTCAACAGTGGTTCTGCTTTGACGGCAGGTTGTGCTTGCAACAAACGAACGCAGCCTTTGACATCGATGTGTGAACCACGTACAAAAGCACCGACTGGATGAACATGATCATATAAAATGACCAAACCTACCATCACTCGCAACACCAGCAAATGCGTCTCTTCACGCTCAATCTGTGACAATAATTTGCTGCAAAAAGTAAACAAAACGTGCATAAATGAATGTAAAAAATATTTGCATCACCGACAACACTCCAATTATGACGATGCTCAATTATTTTCGGAGACTTTTTCTTATCAGTGTATTCAAAAGATAAAAATTTAATTAAATTTGAATGAAATGTGAGATTTTCGTTCAACTGCGTACCAATTGTTCAATTGTTCATTTCAAAATGCGGACTTTGACTTGAAATGTTTGTCATACTTTGATTTGCAATGACTCAGATGCAAATTTTAATAACGACAGATTTCATTTTTCATTTCAATTTTTAAAAAAATCAAGCATCGACTCAAAATGGAATGAGATAAATTGATTGTTATACATACGGATTTTCTAGCATTCTTAAGCAAACTTTGGCCATTGTTCCTAGAGTTTCGGTTGTATTATCAACATCATTAGCATTATCACTAACAAATTTACTAGTTGCTTCGCTCAGCACCTTTAACATAGGCGTTGCATGCGCATAAAATAATGACATTCGATTCGCCAATTCGGTGCTGACCAACATTTGACTAGTGTTTTCGATACGTTGTCGGCTCACCGTTCGTCGATAGTAGCTGAAATCATTTTGAATAGCCGGCGTCTTCATCTGAAATTTACAATCGAATAATTTATTGCCATTTTTATTAGAGTTTTTGTGAGTTTTGAAAGTTTTTTTTATGGTATGCTCTGGAGCTGTTATAGGTACACAGCGTGAGTGCGGACACTTTTCATATAAGCACTGCTTTTTCTTGCACCAATAACAGCTCGAGTGTGCTGATTTTAACCGAATATTACCTTAAATTCATCGAATTTCAATACAAATTCAAGAATTTCAGCTAATTGTTTGACTAAGGCTTGTTGTGTTTCTAGATGCTGTGTTGGATTGAGTCGTCCGCCAACTAGCTGAGACAACAATCGCGGTACAACACGTTCCAATTCCAGTGAATGTTCATAGCATCTCCTCAGTTTGCTGACCAATGGTAGAACCGCATTCCATGCTTTCTCTTGGTACTGTTGCTGTGGATCAGCTATCGCTTCGCGTATCTCCTTACCCGCTCCCTATATTTGAAACAGCAGAAGATGAAAAAAAGCGCAAAAAATTAATTTCTTCTTAAATGGCAATGACTTCATGGCGCGCAACACGCACACCACCACGAACGAAAAGAAAGAGAGAGAAAAGAATTAATTTTCAAATGCCTCAATGAAAATCGAAAAGCATTCCGACCGAAGTCATTCATCTTCGAAAAATTTCACGCCGCATGCACAGAAACAACACCGTAATTGTATTGGGTACGTGTTGGCGTGAAATTTAATTATAATGAATTCTAACGGGCTTCTAACAATTGATTTGTGTGCGCACGGCTCCTGAATGTGATTTTCTGCAAGCTCACAATACCACGCACACTCATTTCCAGCTATGTGCTCATGTGCACGTCTCATGCGTAAACATTGTCTTAAATAATTCTTAAAAGGCGACTTAACAGAATGATTATTATGTTTGATGTACAACTAGGTGATGATGTTTTGAATTGTGTGCGTGTGTGTGTACTTGAATGCAATGTATGTACTGACCTTATAGCATTGAATTTCCTCTAATACATTTTCCGATTCGCGTAACACTCGTTCCACCTCATCATAAATTTCACGTTCTGTTTCTGTTGGTGCGGCATTCTCGAAATCCAGAAAGACATCATAGTTCTTCGGTGTACAACAATTTGAATCATCACGTGCCAGCAAGCTCAGTAGTTTTCCCATTTTGTTTGTTTCTCTTTTATCTGCAGTCGATTTGTCGTATCTGTTATTCGATTTGTTTTTTTTTGTGGTTCAGTAGTGATGGGTGGTGGATGTTTCGTTGTTGTCCTGTTTCTTTCTACACACAGTAACTCTGGCTATGCTATTTAAATCACACTACGCCAATTTAGCGATGATAAATCTGCTTTATTTGAGTATTTGTAAAAAACTTTATTATTATTGTTTTGTGTTTTTTTTTCTCTCGTTATTTTTATGCGGCTTTGCGATTTTCTTCGCTGCATGCACATCCACGCTCTGCTAAATTTCAAGTGTAGCTTCTCTTGCCTACCTTGTCGTCGTTGGCTGTGTGCTGCTATTCGTTTCGTTTTGAGCCGATCAAATGCGGTGTGTATCGGTGTGGCTCGTAATCGTTGTGTGGCGTTTTGCAATTTTCAAAATTGCCTGAATTTGATTTAGCAATCGAATGATTTTCGCACTTTATTTACTCAGCGTAATCCAGACTCGATTCGCACTTGGCATCAATAATAATTTTAACGCGTTCGCATGAATCACATTCAATATTCCAAAATCACCCAACTTACTTCCGGTGTTTTGTTTTCTCACTCACTCTCTTTCTCTCTTTCACGTTACTCGTCTGTGTTTTCTTTTTCTTTTTTGTATATCATATAACGATCACGCACATAAAATCACTTTGTATTTTGCTATTGTTGTTGGTTTTACTGTCATTTCATTGAACATGCTGCAACCGTTGATGATAATAATAATCCATTCATTTGCATTTTAAATGTATGTTCTTCGTTTCTTCTCTTGACCGTTTCTTTTCCTATCTCTCGGTGGCTATTTTTCTTCTATTGTTCGTATATTGTCCGTTTCTCAGAACAATTTAGAATCACTTTTTTTGGTTTGGTGTATTTGATGGAACCGTTGATTACGATACGTGCCGAACTTAAATTCTGCAAAAAAAGAGAAGAAAATTAGATAAAAACAATAAGAAAAACTATTAGATGTTTAATCTCAAAATTAGTCCAATTTTAATTGAGTTCATTGAATTTGCGAGAGAGATTTTTCGATATTTTTTTTCTCAATGTAAATTATACGTTTTGTATTCATCCATTGTTTCCCATGAACAAATACGGGCACAGCAGAAATTTTGAGAACGAATAAAACGTCATACGAAAAAAACTCCAACGGTATTTTATATACGATTTTTTCTTCTTCTCGGTGTTGACCGACCGTTTTTAGTGTGATTTGAAAGAATTATTTTCGGTGTGATTCGACATTGAAATTTGAATTTCGACCAGTAAAATCGATATTGTTGGCGTTTTGTATACGGTGGCCTTCCGGTGTCCGTGCCGAAGAGAACGAGCATAAAAATGAGAATGAACGAAAAAAAATGCAGTACAATGTGGTGGCCAACGAAAGAAGAAAATAACACATACCATAAGCACATACCATATCATTTCATTCAGTCATTTCATTCAATCAAAGCATTTACTGCACACAAAAATTAAATCGAGCATATGGATGCACAGCACACATGTATATGTATACACACACAAAAAACGCAATGTTGAATATATCCACGCGGTTCAAGGCGTTCATGCATACAGCCTGCAGTGTTTATTTTATTTCGAAAATAAACGAACAAGAGAATGTACAAAAAACAAAACAAAATAAAATCACTTTGATACAAAATGCGCCAAAAAGTGTTTAAATAGCATTAAGGGGGCCTTTTCAAGGTGATCGCCTCTTTTCGTCTCTCTTGTTCTTGTTCTTTTTTTCACTGCGTGCCCATATATCCTATGTAGAATACGCGTTGTGTGATATGACACTTAGGCGCGTTCACGTTTTGTACTGTAATCAACAGCAGCTACAACAGAAACGGCACACACACACTAAATACATAATCAAAAAGCTGAGAGAGTAAGAACATGTCTCTAATCGCTTGAATATATGCGGTTACATCAGCCCGCGTTGATTCATGCGTATCATTTTTTTTATTTCGTTAACGATATACGTTGTTGTTGCTGTTTTTACGGGTGTTTTGCAATGCTCGTTTGGGGAAGTATTTTGTCATCATGTCGCTTATGATTTAAATTTTGATGTTGGATGAGATATTTATATGAGATTTATATTCATCGAGCAGAAATAACACAATAATCAATAGGATGTGACTCAACAAAGTAAATGTGTGGCTTAACAAAGGCCAAGTCTTTTGATATGATCGCATAAACAACAAAATGCTCATGTTTTAAGGATTACATCGACAAAGAAATACGCCGAAATTCTGGAGCGAGTGAAAATGCTTTTCAAAAATAAAATCGTTTGTCACAAAGCCTGAGTGTGTGCCCCAACAATAGAATGGCATCGAATTTGTCATTACACTGCACATATTAACGCGTTGCTATTAATGGTTTCAATTCTATTCTTATCCCATTCCACTGTGAAATCAATTTTTTCTCCTCTCTCTTTTTTCTTTTACACACACAGAATCCATAGCGAAAAAAACACGCAAATTCGCACACGACCAAATAGCACCGTTTCGGTTTGCGTTGGGCCTTTTGTCATTTGCCATTCTATTTTGTTTTTTCCACTTTTTTGATATGTGTGTGTGCATTGTTTTGTTTAAATAAAGCATCATTATAAATAAAAAAAATAAGCAATTTCCTTTTGAATGTTTTTTTGTCTTTCGTAAGGTTTTAACGCGTGTCACACACGCATTTCATTCTCTCTGTTGAAATTGTGGTCAAAGTTTTCCTAGCTATTCTCCAAATTGTGCGGGCAAAAAGGCACAATCACATTTATTCGTCACACATTCTGTCTGCCGCTATCCATGACCATTGCGTTTCACTTTATGGTGAGGTTCGCATCATTTGTATTGTATGGCACTTGATGATTTTAATTTTTGCAGAGAGAGAGCGGGAAAAACATTGAATTGGAAAAAAAGTTCCCAAAATTCACCTGAATTTCAAACGTGTACGCAAATTGTCGGTAACTTGTCAAATGAAACCAATTCACACACACAGAGAGAGAGAGAGGCCACATTGCTTAAGCTGCGTGAATCGCCCGGACTTACATTAAATGCGGTTTGAGAATAAAGAAAAACCCATTAACTATAAATACATGTTTTTTTGGCGGAATACAATAAGCACTCTATATTCCAGGGTGCGTGAGTGTTGTGCTGTTTTTTTTTTTGCAGCGTGTGCGGAACATGACACATGGAAGAAACAAAAAAATTACATCGTTGACTTTTCTTTACAACATAGTACACGGCAATGTTCTTTGACTTCTTCAAGCGCAAGTGCACAACACGTTGATTTGAATTTATGAATTTGCGTGCCGAATTATGACACACATTTTTTGTTACTCTGTTGAAACTACGATCAACCACACACAGTTGAGACGGCTTGAATGAATTTCGTGTGTATGTGCACGTCTATAGTTTTATAATGGGGTTTCGCGCACGCACCAAATAATTCGTTTCTCTTTACATTTTCATATAAATTTTTCATACATTTTGACACCATAAATGGTTACCGCACGACCAAAATTCAAACAGCTAGAGTAATCGCTTGCGTCTCACTTGTATATTGTGCACATTGATGTCGACGATGTTTGAAGACAAAATCCCATGGATATTTTCAACGTAAAACAAAATTAATTCACATTGACTCAGATGTTTTTTTCTTCTCTCCATTGTGACATCGGCATGAATGGAAATAGAGAGAGAGAGATAGCGTACTGGACTTCTATTTAAGGCACACGGTACATCCTCAATCAATTCCAATCTCTTGCACAGTCCGATGTAATTAGCTTTGATTCGAAAGCATTTTTTTTATCATACTTTGACTGAAGGCACGATAGAGAATGTGATCGACATTGTTGCGCGATCAAGTCAGCGTTCGATTCATATTCATTGTGAAATCATTGAGTACAACTATATACACAATTTTGCAATCGACGATTGAGGTGTTTGCGCTTCAAAGAGACAGCGTGAAGCAGACAGAACGAAAGAGAGTATGAGAGAGAGAGAGAGAGAGAGAGAGAGAAGACCCAGCGTAATCGAAACAAATTGAGAAAAGAGGATAAAAAAGCGATACACATGTTAGCAAATCGAGAAAGTGATCGATTTGCACATGATTTCTTTTGGGAATTATTTTTGGGCCGTTTGCACCACATCATTCGAATTTTGTGTTTCTCTCCTTATTTTCCTGTTCTTCTCTCACACTTTGTCGTTGCATGCAAGAATTACGAAAATCACCATCATCAAAAACTGAAATATACAGTTTCTGCAGCTGACGCTTGGCAGAGAGCAAAAAGAAACACACACAACAACCAAAAATCGTTATTTTCGACATCAATTTTTAGATTGGCTTTTTGGGCCTTGTTTTTGGGTCGCTCAGTCGGAACTGCTTGGTTCTATTGTTCGTTTGCAATGTAATACGAATTCCAAGTAAATCGATTGGCTCTTTATTTTTCGGGAGAAGAATGAGCAGAGAGAGGAGAAAGAGAGACTACATTGAACATACTGGTGTTGTGTCGCTGTTTTTGGATGTTTATTTTCGATCCTTGGAACAAAGAGATGATGACAGGAAAAAAGGGCGAGAAAGAATGAGCAAGACAGTAAAATAGAGACAGAAATTAAATAAGAGAGAAGGGAGTAACAGAGAGCAAAAAATCAAAACATTACATAGATAAACTAGTGAACGGCAGTGCATGAATATATATATATAAAAATATGAACGAGTCCATGTGGGTTTTTATATTCTTTTCGCTATTGTTCTATGCACATTGTATACATAGGCATACGAATGGAATGAAGTATTAAAAACGATAAATACTTGTGCATCTGCCAAGTGTTTGTGTATTTGAGAAAGAATGTGCAGATATTTCGGTTGGACACATTAAAATTCGATAACATAAACTCTCTATTAATAATATCGATCAATCAACAAAGTACACGGACACACTCTCATTTTTTCCGTTGGATGTGGTGCAGCCAGACTTGTTATTTCTTATTTATTCTTTGTATGAATAGCCATCGATTAGCAACACAAGCGGCCTGCATTTCACAGACGCGACAAACAGAAATTAATGCTAATTATTCGAATTGATGTGTGTTTGTGTGTGTGTTTTTTGCGCTGCTAAAAGTACTGAATTAATCATTCTTATTGTTTATCTCTGTTTAGCATTTGTTGATTGAATACACAATGGAACACGGCACATTAAAAATTATGTTCGAGAAATGTGTTAGGTGTTTGGATCGGATTGAGGAAGAGGTAAATTAAAATGGGCCATGTGTTTCGTCGCCTCCCCCTTTCTCACTTGTGCATATATGATGCCTACGCAGTAATTTTTTTTCTTCTTCTTTTCTCGCCTTTGCTTGTGTCACACCAGCCGATACATATCAGTTACATGCACATTTATCAATACGGACGTGGGTCAACGCATTTTATATTCATACATACAAACACTTTTTTTAAGCAACATTGTCGTCGACGTTGCGCTTTTGTGGAAAATCTCTATCGCTCTAGCTCGGTTTCGGTGCAAATGAAATTGTATGTGATTGAATTGGATTTGAACGGCAAAAGGAAAGCAGAGACAGAACGAACAGAAAAAAATATAAAATTGTTTCATTGTGTCAGTGAACTTCGGCACATCGCGTCGACAAAACAATTATTAAATCAAGCAAATGTGCGCGACACATTTTTTTTTTTTTGCAAAATGAAGAAAATAAACAAATAGACAAAGTACACACATCATTTCATGCACACGCAATATGACAAGGTATATTATCCACATCCACATGTTTCCGCACACTGACTGACTGGAATGTGTGTTTAGTTCTAATTCAATATAAAATGCGATTCAACAATCGATGTAATATGTATGTATAGACCAGAGCTCGAGCTCGAAGCCAGTTGGAGCTCGCAATGACTAAATTAAATTTAGCCACCCCTTTTCCTCTTCTCGTGACAGTTTTTTTTCTTCTTTCAAATGACTCGCTTTGTTCTCTCATTGTTATCTACTTCTCCCACTTTCAAATTTCAACTTTATTTTTTCCCTGTGCTTTTTTTTATTCATTTCTTCTAATCTACGTACAAGCGATTATTGTTATGATTGGAAGCGATTGATTTTTTTTTTTTTTTTCAAAATATACACACACACAATATGGAAAAAATGTCATCAATAGTTCAATATTCCTTTGAACATATCATATTCGTGTATACATGGAGCATGTGCTATCGAAATTAAACTTGACGAAAAAGAAAAACTATCAATCGCCGATTAAATACGTCCGCTACAAATGAAATCAATTCGTAATGAAATCAAAACAAATGAAGACACCACAAATGCACCCGATTTGACCCAGCCAATTAATTTGAAACTAATTCAATGGAAACGACATTAAAACTAAATTTAAAAAAACACTTTCAAATATAAATCACAAAGGCAAACCTCCAAAGGACCAACCAAAGGACCAAGTTCTTAATTATTTTTTCACCACTATCTTTTCTTAGTCGATCGCTTATTTGTACATACAAAATCAATAGATACATAAAATATTGCACACTTTACAATGCACGATTGGAAAATCAAAACACAAAATTCGGCAACATCAGATTCACATCAACTACAAAAAAAACGCGAATTTATCGAGATAAAGAGTGAATAAAAAAAACAACAAACTTTAAGTCGAATCTGTATCGTTCGATATTCCAAAAAATTTGCATAAATGATGATTATTTCATGGAATTATTGTGTGACTTAAACAACGTACTCAAACATATTCAAAACTAGCGAACTCAGAGAATACAAAAAAAATTGTTTATTGATAAATCATCCACTTTACTACACACCGATTCAACGACGTTTGTTCTGCTGTTTTCTGTTGCTGTTCACTCGAAACTGGTGTGCTGTGCGGCAATATTATATTGCAATGCACGATACTGTATATTCGTTTCTTATGATGCTGTGTATTTGTGTACACACTCTTTTTTTTATTTCGTCTCGTTCTCGCTCACAATGACTTGGATGTTCTCACTTTGCGTTTACTTTTGAGTTGTGTGTTGTGTTTCGCTTTGTTTTTTTCTTCTTTCTCTCTTTTCATTCGATTCTCTGTATTTATTGCACATACACTACGGTTTATCTTTCTGCGCTTTTTTGATTCTTTATTTTGCGTGTTTTGCTGTTTGTCATCATCGACCAATACTCTATACGCACCAAATACTAACGCATACCCGCTACAAAATCAACTGAGAATCTTTCAAAAGATACAGAGCAAAAAAAGCACTCAATAGAGAGGGAGATAGGAGCCGCGTTTTTTGACGCAACACAACACAATATACACAATCGCGCGCACTCTTTCGCACTCACCAATATTTATTCTCTGCGATTTGGCTGTGACAAACAAAAATAAACAGAAATTACTCACAATATGCACTTACTGATGAGAGATTCGCAAACGATATCTACAGATTGTTGTTTGAAAACCACCGACTAACTTGCACTCATTCAATAATTTACTGTAGTTTAGTGTCGTTTATTATTTTGTGTGTGTTTTTTTTTATTCTTCTTTTCAATGGGAAAAAATTAAGGCGCGTAACATTGGAACAAACACATACACACATTCAACTCTTTGTTGCACAGATTTTCAGTCAGATTCATTCACATTCACATCTCATTCGCCAGAGGTCACTGTTTACCATCTACTTTGACGAATGTTCGTTAAAATAACAACGATTTACAACTTAAAGTTTCATGAATGCCCTACTTATCTTAAAATTATGATATTACTCATTTCTTTTTTTTTTTAATTATGATTTTTTACCAATTTTTTTTTATTCGGGTGACAATTTTATCAATTTACCCCCAAATTCACTGCAAAAATAAGTTTTGATTTATACTTAAAAGCATCGCATACTTATTGTTATTGGATTATGTTCACCACAGAAAACTGACAGCCGTTAATAAAACCAACTTCAGATCATTTGAATCAACTCAAACATTTCAATTCGTGCGGCAACGACATTCTAACTGAATCAATTGAACAGCACAAATTGTCTTTTCAGCCCAACATTTTATTGAAACCCCAGAGAGTCTTTTTTTTATCTTTTAATCAGTGATTGTTTTTGCGTGTTATGTATTTGGATTAATTAAATGAAACAGCTATACCAATAAGAGGAAGATAAACTTAAATTGCTGTAGTGCACAATTTTCTTATTGTGTGGAGAAAAAAGTCGTTTGAGGTATGTATTATTTTTTTCATTCAAAACATTTTGCTACCATTTTATTGCGAGAAAGAAAAAACTTACCGTTATGTGTTGTGTGAAATGGCATTTTGAAAGTGCCATACCACATAAAAAGTGGTCCACATACTTTTCGCAATGTGTGCGAATGTCAATGCAACGGCAATATGTTTTGCTCACACATTTTCGTCTAAACATGTTTTTTTGTTAAGAATATGTCATATAAAATGTCATATGAAATTTTGAGTAATTGCGAAATTGTTCAGTTTTGTTTTTATTGAAACAGCATCCAATTTCAAAGGATAAAACTCAAACCATAAGCTGTCAGTTCATAACACGACATACTTCGTTCATGTTATTTCATGTTTGTTCCTTTGCTGCTGCGTTTGTTTGATGAAGCAGCACATCTGGTGCATACCCATACATAACAATTTTCACTGAGAAAATTTAGTAGCTCGATCAAAATTATCTTGAGCTAACTTTTTTTCCGAATTAATTTTTTGTTCGATTATTTTTTCTTTTAATTCAATTTTTCCTTCAAACAGAATAAATTTCAAACAATATGGATAGTGACAGTGATGAAAATTCACGATCACAAAGTGATTTATCTCGATTTTCAATGAATTCATCGAATGCATCGAACCATCGTAGTAATCTAAGCGATCAGATATCAAAGTTGGCGCAGTCATTGGATGAATCAGTGATTTTAACGAAACGAAGAAAGAATGTGAAAAAACGAATTTTGGAATCGGATTCTGAATCAGAAAACCAAAATGAGTCTGGCTCTGAGTCCGATAAAAGCGATCAAAAGGATTCGGGATCGGATGATAATGATCAGAATGAGTCTGGCTCCGTTGAATCTGATGTTGACAATCAGAATGATTCTCGCTCCGTTGAATCGGAAAGTGACGATCAGAGTGAGTCTGACGCCGCCGAATTAGAAGCAGATGACGATACGAAAGACGATCAGCAATTTGCTTACCAAGTCGAATCGGATGTGACGGAAGACGATGAGGCCGATGAAGATAAGAGTGACTCGAGTTTACAACAATCGACAACGGTAAGTGTTAAAAAAATGATTCCTACAATATGATACTAAGTCAAAGTGATTGTTATGTCTATCTCACATGATAGCATGATTCATCGGTCGTTATACCCGAGACAGATGACGACGAAGATTTAGAAGAGGCTGAAAAAGAAGCGTCAATGCTTGTCTATTCGCCACGAACACGGCGCACAATAACAGGTCGTCGCTCAACATTCCACAAACCAGTGGAAAGTGATGAAGATGAAATTTTCTCCGAAGAAAAGAGTGTATCGCACAGCGATTATAAATCAGCCGAAGCATCAAAGGAATTAGAATCGTCCACCGATTTTGATAATAATCATTCTGAAAATATCAAGCGTAATCGTAGCATCGCACCTGTTCTAGATATATCAGCGATTTACACACCAAAAGCAAAGCGATTCAGTATGAATAGAGCGAATAGTGGATCGATATCACCAAAAACCAGTACACCGTCACGTTCGTCTACGCCAGACATTGATTTTTCTGATAAATCGAGTGCAAGCGAAGCGCATAGCTATCACATTCAAAGTGATCAATCTGAATCAAAATCGAAATTGAGCAGTTCATCGGTGGTAATTCTTAATTCGGATGACAGCGATGAAGAGAATCGCAAGCCAAATCATACGATCGACTTTAAAGGTGTTAATGCATCAACGCCAGGTCCATCGTCCAAACTAATACAACCAAAATTGAATTTTGACCGAAAACCAAACAAATTGATCAAAACATTTGTATCACGTGCATACTACAATAAAAAAGTTGATGAATTGGCGATGACAAGGAAAGAGTGCAAGGATAACGAGGATTTATTCAAAACTATCGGATCCACATTGCCCGATAAAGGTCGAAATTTGAAAGTACGCGTCGAAAGTTTACAACGAGAGTTACGAAAGAAAGAAATTGAACTGGAAACGTACGCTATCGAAGAGGATCATTTGGATGATGTGATGATTGTTGAGCAGCCAACAAATAACAAACAATCGAATAATGTGGGACGCGATTGGCGATCGGAATTGGAAACAATTCAACCACAATGGACGGGAGAAAAAGGCTTGTCAACATTTAACACACAGAAACAGTTGACATTGAATCGAATCGAAAAATTGCACAAAGCGATGGAAAAATGCCCAACCGAAAATGATTTTGCCCGCCAACCAGATTATCTCAATGTTCAACTCATGCCACATCAATTGAATGCGATCAAATGGATGCGCTGGCGAGAAGTACAAAAACCTAAGGGTGGCATTCTGGCCGATGATATGGGATTGGGTAAGATAAGCTCAAGAATTAGACGCGATGGCATTACTTTTTAATTTGATGTTAAACATTTTCAGGAAAGACATTAACCGTGATTGGGTTGGTCTTGGACGATAAGTACGGAAAGGAGCTGTCACAAGTCGAAGAAGACGAGGAGGACGATGATGAAGACGGTGGGAAAGATGAAAGCGATGATGAAAATCAACGGGGTTACAAGAAAACCTACAAGAATGAAGGTAAAATCGTTGTGCAAAATAACATGAATCATGTGTATTGATGAATTTTCATTGCGGTATATAGGTGGCTCATTGATTGTTTGTCCGGCCAGTTTAATAAATCAATGGGAAAAAGAAATCGAGAATCGTGTGAAACGGCGTAAGTTAAGCGTTCTCATGCATCATGGTAACAAGCGCAAGGACAGCGCTCATTCCATTTGCAAGTACGATTTGGTGATAACTACATACGGGGTTATAAGTAGTGAGCACAAAAATAATGTGAGTACCAGTTGAATAAATAGTCGAGTCTTTGCCGACATTGTAGTCGTTATTTAAACAAACCTTTTGTTCATTCCACTATATAGAGTGCATTATTTCGTATACGCTGGAAGCGTGTTGTCTTGGATGAAGCACACATGATAAGAAACCACACAACAGCCGTGGCCAAGGGATGCTGTGATCTCCGAAGCGCCATACGTTGGGGCTTAACTGGTACGCCAATTCAAAACAAGCACATGGATGTCTATTCGATGTTCAAATTTCTACGGGTCACACCATTCGATGACTTGGCAACATATAAGAAATGGATCGATCCAAAAACGCAGGCTGGAATGAGTCGATTGCATAATATACTGAAGCCATTGCTATTGCGACGCACCAAAGCTGAACTGCAATTGAAGGGTGAATTACAAGCATTACCAACGAAAGAAATTTTAATCGAAGACATTGAATTGACACCAGCAGAAGCAAATATCTATACAAAGATTCTGGCCTATTCACAAACGCTATTCGCTCAGTATATGGAACAACATCAACAGCGAATGGGTGAAGGTGGAAAGGTTCAATTACCCAGCGATATACAAAAAAGACTCGAACAAGTACGACGTTTTGGCCAAGGTCAAGATGTAAAATCATCACAAATTTTGGTTCTGTTGTTGCGATTACGACAAATTTGTGACCATCCGGGTCTTATCAATCAGGTAAACTGCACCGTCTCATCAATAAGGTCATTCGAATTTTAAATTAAATCAATATTCTATTTTGCAACAGATGTTAATGGATGAATGTGACCTAGAGAATTGCGATGAAGAGGATTTCGGTTCGATTGAAATGAATATGGTCAAGCAAATGATTGGCTTGAAAATAAGCGACCACGATGAACAAGCCAATGCTTCCGACGAAGAAGAAGCTAAAGGAGCCCGAGTTCTGCTCAACACAAACCAGATTTTCGACTTTAAACACCCGAGCACAAAGGTAACACAACATTCATTTGTATTTGTGAAAGAGCGATACTGAATTGTCTTGATTTTGTTTCATCCATAGTGCAAACGAACAATTGAGATCGTTAAACGTATTTTGAATGGAACCAATGATAAAATTGTGATTGTATCACAATGGACAACATTTTTGAATGTCGTTTCTGATTTTTTGAATCGTGAACGCGTGCATTATGTCGAGCTGACGGGCAAAACACCAATCAAAGATCGAAATGACATTATTGTAAGTTTCAATAAGCCAAACACACCTGAACGTGTGTTAATGTTATCGTTGGTAGCCGGAGGTGTTGGTTTGAATTTAACTGGCGCCAATCATCTGATCTTATTGGACCCACACTGGAATCCACAATTGGAATCGCAGGCCTTCGATCGTGTCTATCGCGTCGGACAGACAAAAGATGTCAAAATTTACAAGTAAAACACCAAATTTTTGCTATTTCAATTTCAATCAAATTCATTCGAACATTTTTTTTTTTTGAATTCATTATTCACAGACTGCTGTGTGTAAAAACGATCGAAAAGCATATTCAAAATATCCAGGATAGAAAGCTTGAACTATCAGATAATGTGCTGACGGGAAGCAAGATCAGTTCATCAAAGCTCTCAATACAAGATATGCGTCAATTGTTCGATATGTGATAATGAAGGAGAGTCAATTACCATTTCATTTTAAAAAAAGCATGAAAATTTCAACAGCAACAAGAACATTTCATGCATTTTCAACAATTCGGATAAATTACGAAATGAAATGTGCCAAAAAAATATATTGATGTGTGCAGTTTCGGAACGTTGTGAGATTAAATGGGTCTTTTTTCGTAATAAAAATATTTTTCAAAAAATCGGCACAAGTTCAACAACATTCCGACACATTTTTTATGGCAAAATGTTTAAGTATTTATGATTGTTTTTAATTTTAAGGTTCTATTCGTAAATCGAAAAGTTTAGATCAAAATATCATAAAAAGTTAATGAAAATGTTTAAAGAAGCGAATAAATTGCTAACACCAGATTGTGGCAAAGTATATTTAACAAAAATAAAAATCTATACAAACAAAATACAGAAAAAATGACGGTTGCGTTTTATTTTGACATTTACAAAAAAAGCAGAGGGAGAGATAGAGACAGTTATTCGAAGCCAACTTCATGCCGATCAAGCTGTCAATATACATCTAATATATCTATTAGTCATTCATTCACACGAAATTGAACTGGAAAATGTAGATAATATTGATTTTCACATAACAAAAAATTTTTTGGTGCGGAATTGTTTGCTTTTCTTCTCTCTCGGTGCTGCGTGAGTGTGAACATAGAAGAAGTTTTTTTGGCAAAAACGAAATTTCCATGTGTTGTAATATCATTTCGAGAAAGTTTGACGAGAAAAAATTAGATAAAACACCAGTGGCAAAAATCAGTCCGATAAATTGAGAGGCAAATAAAACGAAAATTGAGTGAACGAGATAGAGAAAAGGAACGAGCGATTCAATTTTATTTTTTCAATCGAAACGAAGCATTTATTGGTGTCGAAAAAGAAAACACGAACGAACATTTGTTAATAAAACCTTAATCATTGCAAAAAGTACAATAACAGATACGTCAAGATGCCAGACAGTGACGTCGTCGTTGAAAACAATGTAAAGTCAAAACGACCTTCAGGGTCAGCGTTCAAACAGCAACGACTTCCAGCATGGCAGCCGATGCTTACAGCTGGCACCGTTTTACCATCATTTTTCATCATTGGCATTGCATTTATTCCCGTTGGCATTGCGTTGCTGTTATTTTCAAATAGTGTTAGCGAACATGTTATCGATTACACCGAATGTAATAGTGTCGATCAACCAGGTATTAAATGTGCGAACATTGTGTTCAATAACACTACCACCGCTGAAGCTAAAACATGCAAATGTCGCATAAATTTCACACTGGACAAAGATTTTATTGGCGATGTTTACATGTACTATGGCCTAACAAATTTCTATCAAAATCATCGACGATATGTTAAATCACGAGACGATGATCAACTATTGGGCAAACTAAGTGAGACGGATGTGTCATCGGATTGTGATCCATTTAGTAAAACTAGTGATGGTAGACCAATTGCACCATGCGGTGCCATTGCAAATTCATTGTTCAACGATACGCTCAGTATCACTTGGATGGATGAAACGGGTGGTAAATCGGTGCCATTGGTGAAAACTGGTATCGCATGGCCATCCGATAAAGAAATAAAATTCCGTAACCCAGACAATTTGACCGAAGCGCTGAAAAAGTTTGCACCACCAATTGCATGGTCAACGTCACTAGACAAACTCGATTTGGAAGATCCAAATAATAATGGTTTTCAAAATGAAGATCTCATTGTATGGATGCGAACAGCAGCATTACCTAATTTTCGAAAATTATATCGAAAAATCAATAAAACCGAATCATATTTTGCCGATGGTTTGCACAAGGGAAACTATACATTAGACATCGACTATCGATATCCGGTGACAGCATTTGATGGACGCAAACAAATGATATTGTCAACCACATCATTGATTGGTGGTAAAAATCCATTTTTGGGCATTGCATACATTGTTGTTGGTTGTGTGTGTCTTGTGTTAGGTGTTATTTTACTCATTATTCACATTAAATACGCAAAAAATACAACCGAAATGATAAACGTAAATCCACGAACATCGTACACATAAATATTTTTTATATCGTTTTGTTTCGGTTTCTGTTTTTTAAAACATTGCATATAGTAGATCAATTTGTGCACGGAAGCAAAATTTAAAATTAAAAAAACGATAAAGAAAACAAAACTTTTATTTTGAGGCAATTTAATTGTTAAATAACTCTCCTACTCTGTATATGTAGTCAAAATGATTTCAAATATCAAATATGAGACCGAAAATTGAAGAAAAATAATATTCAGCGAAAAAAAAACGTGTCAATTTTAAACCAAAATGGAATTGTTAGTAATGATTACTATTGTATTCACACATGTATCACAACAATACAACATCGATTTTTTTTAGTAGAATGATAGTATTTTTTTTTAATTTGCGTAGTTAGCACACATTCACACTTGAAATGAATGCCAACAGCTTGATGAAAGAACTTATTTATGTGAAATATGATGAAAACAAGTAGCCAAAAAATAATTGATTTAAATTGGATAATAATATGTCGATGTAAGAACAATATATGTACAAGACACGCAAAAATCAACACAAGTGTATTTGTTTTATGAAGTGCTGTGACAACAACAAACAAACAAACAATGACGTGAGAAGACCTTGTCAATATTTCAATATTGAATTTTATGGAAGTCCATTTGAAATTTGATTTTTCTTTTCGGCCAATGAAAATAGCCTCAGAAAATTGACTTATTCAAGCGCATCTTCTCAATGTCAATTATATTCTAATTCATTCTTTTTTATGATTAGAATAAATAATTAAATAAAAATAAACAAATTTTCAAAATCGAATTAAAGTTATGAATTAAAACCATTTGCCTTACAAACCAAAATCACATTGACTGAATGTTATTCAACTACTTATATACTATATCATCATATGTGCATCATTCAATCAGATGATTTTAAGCAAACAATTCAGTCAGAATAAAACTATTACTGTTTTTACTTATATATATAAAAAAATAATAATAATTTTATATTTATATATGTGTACGATGGCAGTGTCTAATCATATCGGACACGCTTGATGTTGATGATGAAAGGCACAAACAAAGAAAAATATCTTAGATGTAATACACAGCATTGATGTCCGTCTTTTTAACCCTATCTGTTTATTGTTGGGAATTTATTTCAATTACTTATTTATTTTGTTAAGGAAAAGCTTTGATTAAATTAACATTTCTTTTCTCTTGAGTACAGATTCATATACCACACATTAAAAAAAGCTTATGGGTCCGTCAATATATGTTCCCGGCGACAAGATACTTAACTCAATGTATAAGATTTTTATACCGAACCAACATCAAATTTGAAATGAAAAACCATGTCGGTTTAACGCGAAGAACATAAATTGACTGGTCGTGATAAGAAGAGTGAAAAGCTTTTGGAAAAAGTTGGCCTCACTATGAAATTTATATAGATTCTGTGGCGCCGAACAATTTTCGATTCTTTAAATCGTATTCAGAATCATTTAGAGCTGTTATTAGCACCGGAAAAAAAATTATTCCATAAAATATTCTTGTAAATGCTGCTCTTTCTTGTATTAGACGCGGTACTTGAACATTTTTATGGATTACCTTTGGTTTATCGATTGAAACTTCAAATGAAATGACATATCAATTGTTGATTTTAAATATTTTTCAATAAATTCTAATACACAGAAATTTATTACAGTTTTTTAATAGACACACAGACACACTCTTACCGTTGTTTTATTTAAGTAAAAAGTAAATAGTTTTATTCAAAAAAAAAGATAGAAAATATCTTGTTCAATTACCAAAATAAGAAAATACAATAAAACTCCAGTTTCTTTTTCAGTTAAATTCATGTAAAAATTGTATTGCATTTCTTTATTTCTTTTCTTACTTCAATTATGAACGAAAAAAATGATTTCAAAAGATATTAAGAGAAAAATACATGAAAAGTGAGAATAATTTTTTTAAATATTTTACAAATTTTAGGTTTTCTATTAGAAAAAAATCTAAATGTACTACACAATAAAAACTGTAATTGCTTTGCTTGTGTGCGTGGTATGAAGATCGCAAGTATAATGAGTAAAATGCAATAAAAAATATGATGATCCCTAAAAACGAAATGTATATATATATTTATGTGTGTGTGTGTGTGTATGTATATAACAGTGATGATAATGATGTTTTTGATCGAATGTTGAGCTCCTTTCTCTGTGTACGCAGCGTGGTTATGCCATTGATAGTGATAGTCGTATTGAATCGATGACATGTGGTTCTAAATCGAGTGGTTTATCGCTTATTTCATTTGTTTCCGGATCGATGACATATACTTCATGTATCGTTCGACTTGGATCGTTTGGATCTTGACTTTCGACAACAACTAATGAATCCATAACGTTTCGCTCTTGATTATCTGCATCGTTATCGTTTTCGGTGTCGGTCTCTGTGTTTTGTATGTGATTATCTAGTTGGTCGTTTGATGTCGTTTGTTCTTCATTATCGTTGTGTACAGTTTGTTCTATCTGTTGCGGATCGAGGTTGGACGGTTGTTCGATTATTCTAGAATCGCTTTGTATTTCAGATGATGGCACGGATTCGATTTTAATAGTATCAATCATTTTGGTGCTATTCGGACTCGGTCGTTTCGATCGTTTGTTATTCGCTAGCACTGGTACGACTTTAGGCCTTCGTTTTCGTTCAGTTGCACTTTTATTTTCAATGGGTTTAACTGTGGCCACCGACTGCTGTTCCGTTTCTTCTTTTAAAACTTTTATCGTATGATTATTCGGTGATTTGGTGTCGTTTTCTTCGGTGGAAATTGTTGAATCAACATTGCTCAACGGTACAATAATCGACGATTTGTTATCACATTCATCCACAATAACTGTCGTTTGGTCTGTACTTTGGTCACCGGGTAGTTCATGTTCGACAATTATTTCACTTGATTCGGTAATTTCTTCTATCGTTTCGACACCATCAATTTCAACACCATCGCCCAAATTTGAACACGCCATTATGACCACTTCATTTGAATTGTACATATAATTGCCGCCATCATCATATGATTCTTCACCAATCAACCCCATAGTACTGACTTCAACCATATCCTCAACGACTTCTTCAACGATCTCACTTGTTTGCAGGTGTTCCATTTTATCGGATGTCAATTGATCAATGTCTTTTTTCGCTTCATCACATGTTGCTTTGTCGCTATTTTCAAGCGTTATTATTTCATATTGAATGCCATCGATTTTGACCATATTATTTGACGTTTCGTCGGTCTCCGTAACTTTTGGTGCATCTGTTGAAGCAACATTGGTCACTGATGTCGTACCAATCGTAACATCTTCTTCAATCGACACATTTTCAAATATAATATCCATGTTCATGATATCACCGCTTCCTTTATACGTTAAATTTGGATTTTTTGCGATATATTGATCAATTGATGCATTTTCTACTACTACTGGAACATCATCATCACCATTCGCTATGTGTTCATCGATTGCATCGTTTTCATGACTATTATTTTCACTGTGGATAACTAACGAGCTTGAATTCATGGACAAATCGATTGCGTGTACTGAATCTTCATCGGCTGCATATGTTCCATTCGATTCAACCGCTAAATTTGACACTCGATCCTCCTTATCAGTGGTGACCACTATTGGGGTTGTGTCTGAATTCGATTCATGACTTGAATTCGGCTGCACTTCGGACGTTTTTCGTGATGATATCATTTCAGTGAAACTCGGTAATTTGTGTGTGGCATACGTATGATGAGGTAAACTATCTACATTTTCGACGTGATTGTTATTGTGATTTAATGTTAATGGATCGTAAACGTTCGGCACATTTTTCAGCACTGCATCATCTATCAACTCGGGTGTCTAGAGAGCGTATAAAACAATGAATAACATCGGAAAAAAGTGTGATACTACAAAGATGCTTACCGATTTACGTTTTCGATTCGGTTTCTTCGATTTCGGCGGCAATGCAACAAATTCATTTTCATAGATTGCGTCACCATCGGTCAAATTTCGCATCGATCGACTTATTTGTCTATTTGGATTTCGTCGCCTAGATGCATTTATTTGCACTCTGGAAATGAACAATAACATAATTACTTTTGTTCTCGATTTTATCGAGCAAACTGAAGGGCTTTGCGAAATTTTGACTTCATTTTCAATCGATATTTGATTCAAAGATTTTTTTACTTTCAAAAGCATGATTTCATTGAAACTTCAATCGGTATACCACTTTATTTATATTTGTGTGGTCAAACAAGCCAATTTGATTGATTTTTTTAAAGTGTCGTTGGAACAGATAACATTTCCAATGAGAGCGTAATTTTTTTGACTGATCGAAATTGCAGACAAGTGTTATCATTTCTTGAAATTCTTATCTACAAAAACGACATTATATGTTTTGATCATAGTAGATACAAAAAATCCAATCAATGTCACAAAATGGGGAAAAAAGGTGATTAAAGTATAATTACTTTCGTTCTGTGGTCATTTTCTTCCTAAGTTCAGCCCATTCCTGTTTCTTCTGTTCGATTTCATAATCTTCCTTATCAAACTGAAGTTTCAATTCATCTACGTTGAATTCTTTGGGATGCATTAGCGCTTTATTAATTAAGGCCATATTGTGTTTTTCTTCTTTTTTGAACTGAAAATCAAAAAAAAGATTATTTCAGATCCGAAGACTAAAAGACTTTCAATGAAAATCAAATTGATGTTTACCTTTAATTTTAAGTCGCGCCTTGATCGATTTGGAAAGAGTTGTAACATACAAGAGAAATCCGTTCCGATCGTTTGAAGTGATTTATAAAATTTGAGTGTCTCCAATGGTAGCCAGTCTCGTGTACGTTTTTGTCGCTTATAAAAACCGCTTGCTGTTTCAAATTGAAAATTCAATCAAAACAAAGAAAAATAAAAATAAAACCAAAATAGTACTTACTTCCGCTAAATTCATCATCGTAAACCACATCCGAATTGGCGAGAATTTCACGTGCCTCTTTATCGCCGGTTGTTTCAATCACCAAACTTTTCTCGTCCAAAATAATTTCACCGTTTGCATCGAGTTTCAATTGTGGCACCGGTCCCGTCACGCCATCCGTATTTTCTCCCATTTCCGTTTTAACACCCAGCCCGGTCGATGATTCCGATTTCACCGAACCGCTACTTTTACTTTGGCTCGTTTTGGCCGATGACACCGAAGCATTATCACCATTTTTATCACCTTTACCGGCTGGTTTGCTCATTGGATTTGTCAATGGATTATAATAAATGAGATCGTACATTGTGAGTCGACTTTTATCCGGCGGTTTACCTAAGGGGAGAATCACAAAAGAAAAGAATAAAATTTAAAATAATCGATAAGTAATCGAAAAATAATCGTAAAACAATCAATAATAATTAAAAAGTAATTTTTAAGTGATTTGCCCCTCAGGTTTACCATTCAAACGTTGATTAAATTCACGTTTTGCATTCGCAACACGTTGATACTCTTCGGAACGATGTGATCGTTTGCTTTTTGAAAATGGTATATGATCCGATATGGTAGAACTGTACGATTCGGTGCGAACACGTGACGGTACCTTATTCAAACCGAAATAATTGCGTTGATGTTGTGGTGTTGTTGACGGATTATAGCTGCTATGATTTGAACTGGTACTGTAATGACGTTGCCTTCGATTTTGTTCATCTTCTGATTCGGATGCACCGCCCAAACCGCTGCTGCCCTGAATGCTATTGCGTCGACTTGCTAAAAAGCACGGTGTCGGTCGAATGCGTTGCCGTATTTTTGTATTGTTTGGCATTTGTGATGATGGTGATTTGGTAAAATCATCACCATAAATATCATGAAATGGGCTCATGCTTGGATCAATGCGCCTCGTATAAATCGGTGACATAAATGGCGGTGACTTAAAACATTCATCATTTTCAACTGGTGCCGGCGAGAAAATTTCATCGTCAATATTATTTGATGGTTTTGCACTATGCGGATGCAACGGTGATTGATTTGCACTTGATTTTGGTTCTTTTGGTGCTGACATCGGATCACGTACAAATGAATATGATGGTGATTTCATGTATTTCGGTGATGAACCATAGCTTGGCGTTCGATTGTTATCGTTTGCGGCAATCAAACTTTTGCGACGATTTACAATGTTGACGGGCGGCGCTGATATGCGTCGAAATGGTGTTGACGCTGCATTGAGATTCGGTGATGGTTTTGACACGACCTTTGACGGTGATGCATCGGGTGGTTTATTTTCCAATGAATCAACGACATCGTCCAATGCATGGCTTTGATTTGCTTTATTTACATGATGCGACGGTGATGCATTCTCACTTGTTTTTTCCGATATTAATGAGGGTTTTACATCTGGCTTTGTTTCAAATACTATCGATTCGTTCTCTTCAATATCTCTATTTGAATTGTTCGGTTCGACCGATGATGATTGTGACGATGATCCCGACAATGGTTTTTGTTCCACATTCGATTCGGTGACAATGGGTTTCTCATTGGCAGATGCTTGCGGTCGACGCGGTTTAAATATTACTGCCGCTTTAACTCGCGGTCGTCTTGTTGACATTGTTTTATTTACCTTTTTTCAACTTCCAATTACGTTTTGAGATGCCACTTTTTTCACTCAATTTCATCCAAATCACCCTAAAAGTGTAAACAACTTGAAATTATTACATCATTCCTATGGAATTTACACAAAACTAATGAAATTCTACCATTGAATTGATAAATCAACAAAAAAAAAACACAAAAATCTCTTGAAATTGAGGTTATGTTCAACGAAATTAAAACTTTTTTTCTCAGTCGTATGACAGGCACAAGATAAACACAACATAAATATACTTAAAATATTAAACACAAATATTGAATGTAAGCATACGTTCTATTATAGTCATTTGCTTGCACGATTATCTCTGATTTATGCTTAATATTGCTTTAATCATCCGATAACAGTGTCGACAATGTTTCATTTGCTCCTCGATAATTTTCCAATTCCAAACCAAATGCTGAACATTCGTTTTGTTTTCGATGATGAATAAATTTCGGAAGAAATTGTAATTGATTTCATGAAAAAAATCGTCGTAGGAATGCAGTGATAAACGGGTTGAATTTAAAATGAAAACAATAACAGTTTCGTCGTGTGTATGTGTTTTTGGCAATTACAAAAGAATGAAAATAACAAAGCAAATGTCAGTAGAGAGAGTATGTGTGAATAATATCAAAGAAATGTCAAATGGATTTGTCAAAATCACAGCGTGTTTAAGAGGGAACACAAACTGCGTCGTCGTATTCGGTTGCCTCATGTCTCTTCTAAGACTTTTTCTTCTTTTTATTTAACTTCGTTCAGTGGCCGTACAAAGGAAGGAAGTACTATCGCACGTATGCGTAATAAAGACGACTAGATGTGATCCATCCATTTGATGACCCTATTAACAGAATTAGCAGCGCTCTTATTTGAATCTCATACCAAAATTCATTCAAATATATTCAACAGTTTTGATTTTGGGTTTTTTTTTTTGTGTGATCATCAGTGGGTGGATCTGTGTAATATTTCATAATTCAAGTAATTTATTCATTATTTTGTATGCTTGTGTGTCTCATTATTTTGTTGCCAAAATAAAACTTGGACACTCTTTTTCTTTAAAAAAGAATTGTACACACATTTGATTTTAATGTGTTTTCATGCATACAATCAAGAAAGAAAAAGACAGAGAAAGAGCGAGCGATAATCGAAAAGATTACGAAATATTGTAATGCACATACCATGCAAAATCAATTTTAAGCGAATGACGATGTAAAGTATGTATGAAAAAGACCGAGAGGCATAAATAAAGGGAGCAAAAAAGAATTTAACGACAATGATGATGATGATGACGATGATGACAATGTCGCGTGAAATGTTATTGTTACGCTGTTCGGTGCTGTGTGTTGATTGCCTGATTGGCGACAATGTAAATAAACGTGCAGTCACATTTCTTTTCGATTATTCTTTAGCAAGTTCACTTTCGATGTAACTGCGTTCGGTCGGTCGGTTATTCGATTCGGGTGCATCATTGTTTTATTGATCTGGTGTTTATAAAGACTCTTTAAAACTATCGAAACAAAAATGTCGAGTTAGTAAATGAAATTCAAGTTCTTCGTTTCAATAAAAACAAACACAGTGTAAAAAGTGATCCTTTTTGTTGTTTTCTATCTCCCTCTCTCTATGTGTGTCTTGAATTATTTTCCAGTTTACCAAAACAAGACAGTATAACAGAAAGGGAGTAGAAAAATAGAGATGAAATAACATGACACACAAGAACGTAAGTGTGCAGGTTTTTGTTTTTAATACCAATGAAATGAATTGCCGTCCAAATTGGAATGACGTCAATGAAATTGTAATACGCACGGAGAATATACTCGTATCATATTTGACACCAGCACGTACACACAGTGTCACACACATACACATATATCGACCATCGGTTAAACCAGTTTTACGCGAGAGATACAGACGTTGAACGTATACACATATCGATGAAAATGTACTGGCGCGAATTCATTGTGTTGGTGTGTATTTTGACAGCGGTCGTTGTTGTGTCAAAACATGCACTAATTTTCGTATTTTGATATTGTGGTCTTGTTTTACCGAATAATTTCATGCATTCCGATAGATTTATTTCAAATAATTTTTAATGACCACCAAATGTAAAATAAAAAAAAAACACGTCACGCGAACACACAGTCGTTCGTCATGTGCATTTACAAGGAGATTTGACGCTATTTGATACAATTGAACGTCGTACGATAATATAAATTTGTTGAACAATCAACAATGACAACGATTACCAAATATCATGGAAAATCGTTTTCAATTGAATTCAATTAGAATAATGATTTCGTATCATCGACCAACATGCACACATCACATTCAATTGGCGTCAATGAGTCGAACTGTAAACTAAATGAAAGCAGAGACAGTGAATGTAAAGCATGACGACGAGAAAAAGAGACGGCATTGAAAAAACAACAACAACAACAAAATAATAAGAAACCACAATAAGATCGAAATCAATTGGAAATTCTTGATGACAACAAACAACATTACAGCTTTTTCCGATGCTCGGCCACAATCAATTGACAATAACAACGAATATGAAACGAAATATTCACTGGACATAGATGTAAGTGTGCTATCGCCGATGAAAGTCCACTGACGTTGTCGTCTCGTGTTGTTTGATTGAATTCTCAATTTGTCTAAAATCCGGCACAGCGACAGTCCCTTGCTATCGATTCGATTATTTGTTCAAACATTCTTCTCTCACTCTCTGTCTCTCTTCTTCATCTATCTTTGCCTTTGTCAAATCGTGTTTCGTATTCACAATTCCGGAATGGTCGCTCAGATGAGCAATAAAAGATAATTTTCGAGATCGAGACATGTTCGAGCATATTATATTATCCAAACTAAAGAGCTTTACCACCGATATTATTCTATTAATCTCATGATAAAAATACATGCATGTGAATACCAATACCACATAATCATTTAGTTTAGTCTGTTGCTCCACTGGATGGAAGAGAAACAAACACACATACACAGCAACAGTAGCAGTAGCAACAGAGACTCATACACTATGTGTAAGCATTTACAGCCGATTTTTGCTTACCTACGGTATCTATGTGTGCTACACTCATAATCATTTTTTATTGTTGTTGTTGTAATGCTATCGGTTTTGTATAGAAAAACGTCTATACATACGGGTCGGTTGTTTCATCATCGTCATGTCATCGCTGGTGTGTGTGAGCGAGAGGCGAGACTTTTGTTGATTCGATTTTGATGTGTGTTACTGCGCGCTCTCTCTCTTTCTCTCTCTGTCTCACAAACAATCTTCACCCACTGCGATTTTCCATCGTTGTCATCACTCTGGTTGCTTCTCTGTCGCACGCGTCTTTGTGTATGTGTTGTGTGGATTTTGTTATTTCGTCTCGTTTCTTTCTTTTTTTTATTATTCGTTCAGCACTTAGTGGTTCGTTCTGAAATTCATATTCGGGATTCATGATGTGTGCGTTATTATAGAGTATGTAGTCGTCGTTTCACCGCCATCTGCATTTATACTCGCGCAAGTCTTATTAGAAATAATAATTACTGTAGCGACTGACATACAAAAAAGAAATAGAAGAAACGAAACGAACAACAGAGCAGCAGAGTGAAAGAAGCAAAAGAGAAAAAAAACGAAGTCGCAAAAAAAATCGCAACGATTTTTCTTTTACTCGTTCCTCTGTTTTTCCCGTTTTTGGTTGAATGTGAAAATGCGATTAGTTTTGATAAAATGTGATAAAAAGGCACCATGTAAATTCCGTTTGTGTGATCATCTCATCGCAGGAAAGAAATTCGCTGCGAAAAAACATGGAAACATAGACAAATCAGTTTCGTGTAAATAATCAAGTGAAATGACGTGAATTGACATGTAAAACATACAACACAGAAACAAAACATTTGTTTTTTTTTTCGTTACAAAAAAACAACACTGAAACCGAACTCAACGTTCACGAAACGAAGAAACATACTTCTCTTTTTTTTTTTAAGAGAAGTCATTCTGTTGAACGCGCAATGTAATTGTGAAAACGAAAGATCTTTTCTTAATAATATTATTAATTGTTGCTGTTGTGCACCTTTTTCGATAATTTTCGAAAACGAGAAGGCGAAATGTTGATAAAGTGAACACAAAAGGCCATGCACTGTGCAACAAAATTCATTGTAAACCAGAGTGCAAAAAACGAAGAAAACACACACACCGAAATTAAAAAGAAGAAGAAGAAAAATAAAATACAAAGTACTGTTCATTGACGGAAACTTTTTTTACTTATTCAGTTTTTTTCTCTCGTTGTATTCTGCTGCTATTTTGTGTCGTGTGTTGTTTTGTCGTGTATAGTGTTGAGTTGAAGGCAGAGCAAAATAATCATCGGTGTTATATCCCCGTTATTAAGAATGAAGAATAAAAAATTGAAATGATATATTATAGACACGGCAATTGTGTTGAGTACATTTTCTGATCGAATAAACACAAAACGCACACACGCACACAAAGTGTAAGAGAAAGAGGGAGCGGGAGTGGGAGAGAGATAGAGAGCGAATAAAATCAACAAACAAAATGCGATTTTTTAGGCATGTTAAACCACAACAATAGTAACAACAACAAAAAAATACAGTTCATTTTACGGGTGAAGAGAAAAGAAGCAAGCAGAGAGTGGCTTGAAGAATCAAGTCGACTAGAGACTCATTTTTTTTAAGGTGAAACGATGAAAAGAAAAAAAGTCGAAGAGTTGTCGAAGAATATGTGAAAAATGAAATGAAGAAGTTTATCAGAATCGAATTCGTATTATGAATAAATTATTATGCACACTGACATGAAATAACACAGCACGGTCATCGCATATATTAACACACAAAAAAACACACCACATGAAACAACATAAGAAAAGGGACGAACTCTTAGTGAACTGAGAGTGGTAAGAAAAGATAGGGGAAAAGAACATAAAGGACAAGTACGGAAAAATATTTATTTAAAAAAAACGTGCACACAATTAGCAATCATCATCTTCATCGTTGTCATCTTCTACGTTGCTATTTTGTACATTTTTGCCATTGCCTATGTTTAACTTCGAATGCCAATACATATGTTTTTTTTTGTGCTATTATTTCTTCTTTCCTTTATCGTTGTTATTTTATGTTGGTCTGTCTTTAAGACGCTGCTCATAATTTCTGCATTTCTTCTTCGTTCACATGACGAAAATAGCAACAACAAAAAAATTGCTGTCAACCGTACACAAAAAAGTAGTGAAATGAATCGATATGAATGCATATCTCACAGTATGTGTCGAAAATTCAAATTCACATTCATTTTGACTTTCTAATTTGAACACCGTAATGTGAATTGCTCTGTGTGTGTGTACTAAATATTCTACCATTATAACCGATAACATTTGTCCGCATAATCCCCAAACACTCGAAGTTCAATGCTTATGCAGATATGCACATACACTGATTCTATCTTTGGTGATCTTCACTGTCAGTTGAAATTTCAAATAATGGTTAAGATCAAGAACTTTGATTGTCACCGCCAAAGTGTAACAAAAGCTCAATTCCAAATATTATTGTTTTTTCTTCTTCTTCTTCTTTGATTTATCTACAAACTGTGCAATATATTATCGAAATGTTTTAATGCCCCCTCTCCATCCCCAAAGAATGCACAATGATTTTTATTTGACAGACATGTAAAAGCCGTATTGATTACAGTTTTTGGCGATAAACGAAATTTGTTTTTATTGACGAAATGTTGTATGACGAAAAACGAAGAAGCGATACAGAAATATACCACTTAATAATAAAAAAAAATTGATTGTGATTCGTATGATACGATTAGGAACGGTGAACATTATTTTGGAGAGTGAACGAATAAAATCACATAATGAATCGCCCGCTTCACAAAAATTTCTTCTTGATGTCATTAACTCGAGTTTCGATGGAGAAAAAAAAAATCAAGGATTAAATAATACTTTAACTATTTATTTGGTGGTGTGTATGAGTGCATCTTTGTGTGTTTAGTTTACATTGTACATTAGCTCTGTATTATTTCTCTTAAATTAAACACCGATTTATAGCCGATGTCATAGCAAAAGAAGATATATTCATATCGTATATTTTGAATTTCCATGTCGAAAGAAGCAAACAAGCAAAAAGAAAAAAAATATATAATGAAAACAAATCTATCTCTGTCTCGCGTGCGTCAAACCAGCCTTCGAGCTTATGTATCGCACTCGGCTGCTACCAGTCGGTCTCCTAGTAATTGAAAGCATTTACGTATGGTATCGGTGGTTTGGCTCTAGATTGAAATTGTATAGTACACACAACAAGTTTATTTTGTTGTTGCTGCTTTTTTTCTCTTCTTGCTTTTCTTTTCTGACGATGAGAGTCACGCACACTAAAACGCACACCACCATGTTTTACGATTGATCCGGTCCGTTCAATTCTCTCTCTCTCTCTCGCTCTGTCTCTGTCTTCACTATAGATTTCGCCACTTTTGCTATTTCATGTGCGCCGTAATGTTTACACTAACTGACACGATACAAAATGAAAAAGAAAAAGAAGAAGAAATTTGTTCAATACGTGCGTTTTTACCATACAGAAAGTAAAAACGGCAGAATCATTATTTCCGCGATCACACGTTGCTTGTTTGTATTGCGCGGTCAATTTTTATTCTCCTTTCTCACTCACTCTCTCTATTTCTCGCTCTCATTTTGTTTCAATTTCACAAGTTGAATTGCGAATTCAGCATTTTATGGTCGAACAGTTGGTTTTTCGCGGCTGGTCGACCGTGTGTATGGTATTATTATTTTATCGTTTCTCGTCATTTCAGTCTTTGTCGCATCAAACAGGTCGTTGTGTATGTGTTTGTGTCTGTTGCTTTTTCATTTGATTGTTGGTGCTATTGTTAGCGACAACAACGACACCGAAATTTTCCCCCAAATTAAGCATCGATGCGCCGTGAATCATCTTGGGCATGTGACATAAATTGTTTGCGGTTTTTTTTTTCTCTTTTGTAAATAACACACATCAAATGGCATGATTGTGATAAAAGCTCAATCAACTGACCATTTTGGTTTATTGATGCCCAAATCGCAATAACAATTAAAAACATGACATGCCGACCAAAGACTACGACGACAACGATCGAACAACAACAATTTTTGTGATAGTGATATAACGATGATTGTATACACGTGAACCCAAACCCCGTTCGTTGACAGTGTCAGTCTTTATTATTTTGTGTAGTAGCTAGTAGGCATTTTGCCTTTTTTGATTATTGCTTGCGATAAGATTGCAACGGGGCAAAATACCCAGTCAAAAACAAAAACAATCGACGACAAGGAGCGACAGAGTGCCAGAGAGAGAGAGAGAGAGAGAGAGAGAGCGAGGGATAGAAAATAATAGTAATAGTGTTAAAATACAATATGTTTTGCCACTAGAAACAAATTACAAAACAATAAAAATGAAACATTTTCTCACACACTCCTATACGATCACAAGTTGCTTATGCGAACGGTGTAAGGCATTAAAGTGAAAATATCAGCCGATCAGAATTGGCCGACACACAAAAAAGCACAGAGAGAGAGAGAGACGAAACACACAGCTTTTGTTTGTTTGATGAGACTTACTAAATAAATGCTAACAGCAAAAACACGATTATGTATCGAATTGTGGTGCGAACAAGTTGTTGATCACATATTCAAGAGTGATACGAAACGATGATTCAATGAATCTCAAATTGAGAAATTATTAAGTTGGTTGTTGTTATATATATTTTTTTCTGTTTTATTCGCTTCATTTCATTTTATTTGATGAATAAATGAGAGAAATAATATTCAGTAGCGAACGAGTTTTAATCGAAACCAATAATAAAACACAAATGAAGTGCAGCGTTAAGTGCGTTCATTGTTCAAAAGAAGAGGAAAAAAATTTGAAGAAAAAAGCAACCAAAAAATGAACAACAACGAACAAAAAAATAAAACAATAAATGAAAAATGAAAACAACCGCCACCGTCAAACACATGAAATTTGTGCAATTAATCGTCACTCACGTGTGTATTTATTGTCGCTTGCGATTTTTTTTTTTTTCATTTTCAATGGAAGTGTATTGAATACATGTCGCGCGCAAAGAATCAAATATACAATGGAAAACAAAGAGTCATTACACGGAGAAAATAATGAAGAAAACAAATTGATTGGTGGTATTGAGTTATGACGGCACATGGTTGTTACTGTAATTCGGTGGTTATTGATGCTGCTTTTTATCATTAGAAAGATCGAATACTAGCAAAATACAAACAGAGTCACGGGAGATTGAATTGATGAATTCGAAAAACACAGAGCGTAGCATTCATTCATTTTGATGACTTGTCCGAATGAGATATAGATATGGATCTGTGCGTACTCACTCTCCAAACTCATTGAACGTTTCATTAACTCATTGACAATATTACTTACTAGTATCTGGATTTTTTCTACTCTCTCTCTCTCTCTCACACACACACACAGACACACGCACAGATGTTTCTCTTTTTTGGTCGGAATTTTTGACTGTGTCGTATGTTTTACCGTCAATTTTTTTTTTCAGCAACATTTTGCCTTCTCCAAATCGAAATCAACTAACAACGAATCTATTTTGATCCTTTCTTTGTTTTGTAGTGCAAAATTTATAGTGACATTTTTTTTGGATAACCATGAAAAAATTATAGCGATATAAAGAAACGGACTTTCTTTTGTGTTTCGATTTTATGCGCAAACATAAACGCCAATACTATGCATCGAAATCGATCGATTGCCCGTTGTTCGGAGGTGCATTTTCGATGTTACAAACGAATTAGTGATGATAATAACATTTGATATATATAAAGACGAAAATAAATTGAATTGATTCCGCAAACCAATCGACACAAAAAAAAAAATATCTATATATATTAGAAATTTGATTGAAAATACAAAAAGAAAAGAAGAAATCGAATCTAAAACGATTATTCGAATCGATCGGTCGAGTGTATCGATTTGAAAAGTGTTCAAGAACATCGACAACACTCTAATTCAACATGGATAAGCTCGTACGTGTCGGTTATTATGAATTGGAAAAGACAATAGGCAAAGGAAATTTTGCTGTTGTTAAGCTGGCCTCCAATATAGTCACCAAATCAAAGGTAAGTGCTCCAATTAAAATCTATATATCTTAGATTCGCATCAAAAAGGAAATATATTGCTCAAAAAGGTATTTTGTTCAACTGAATTACGGACCTTTTAGATGAATATTCTAAACTGGTATCCGTAATCGCTGTCACTTCTCTCAAGAGAACTGACCTTTATTGAACGAAAAGAGAACTGTGATTGCTTCCAGCAATAATCTAGCGCAAAAAAAACTTATGCGCATATTGTTTAAATGAAAGAAATCATTCTTAATCAAAATGCTCTTCGGATTTGATCAATTCAAATTAATGACAGTTCAAAGCACGTAACACAGAACAAAAAAAAAAACGAATTTTGTTTATTTAGCCAATTCGTTTTTTGTCAAAATATGGCACTTTTAAATTGCAAATCCATTTATTTTTAAATCGAAAAATTCTTCTTGTTTTTTTATAGTACACAATTTTATCGAAAAATTTCCAAGTACACATTTTCAAAATTTACATGTGCGCAAAGTACATATTTCTCATGGTGTTTGTTTTTCAATACAGAAACTTCATTGTCGGGGTGTCATAGGCCGTTTGAATCAAGCCCAAATTCATACATTGATTGAATGAGAATGAAAAAACGAACGCAACAGTGATAGAAATGGTTTTGATTGTTTGAAACGAAAAAAGAATCGAGTATATTTTTGCGCATCTTTGCAATGCAACGCACACCATTTGAAATTGTCAACGATGTCGTACGACGAATGTTTTTGTTTAACAAAAATCACTTGAGTTTTATAAATCGAATTAAATGACAATAAGGCATGAGAGTGTGTCTCAGAGTGTAGGCAAGCAAATAAACGATCTAGCAAGTCAGTCAGTCTCAGCCAAAAACTAATAGCATTATAACAAACGTAAGCTATATAACCAAGCTTATGTTGTGCTGTGCGGTCGTGTGACAAAATGAAAATTGGTCAATAATATCATCTGATGTATTGTGATTAATGCTTGTTGCCGTTCATTGATTGTACGAGCAAATATTGCAGGATGTCAGTGTTTTTCTTTTCTTATTTATTTATTTCTATCTCTCTCTTTCTCTGGCTTCTTGTTCACGGCGGTGTCGACAATTTTTTTATTCTATATACGCGTTGAATACTCAGAGAGTGTTGCTTAATCAAAAAAAGAAAACGAGAAGAACAGCAAAAAAACAGCGCTCATTCTACAACTAGTCTCAAGCTATAAACCAGGCGTATAAACAGTTGCTACCGTGTAAAGCAATATTTTTTTTTGCATTCTTTTCCAACAAGATCCCCGAAACCGTCGGTTTTCATAAATTGAATGCGGTCGCTTTCATTTCATTCGTTCAACCTCTTCTTATTATTCTTTTTCGTTCTTTTTCATCTTGCCAAACAAATAAACAGATTTTAATGGCCGACATCATGACAATTCTCAACTAAAAATGTGTAATTGTCATGCAATGTTTAACGGCCTTCATATGATCGTGTGCGGTCTATTTTGTATCGGTCGAACACAAATCGGGACAGCAATAGCAGAAGCGACAACAAAATTCAATAACAAAATGAGCAACGGTTTTGCATGCTAATCATTTTTAATCTGTTCAATTGGAGCAAAATGATTAAATCGAATGCAAAAGAGATTCATTTTTGTTACAAAGAAAATGAAATGCATTTCTTTTCTCAAAATCACACAGTTGGTGTTCAGAGTACCTTTTCTTCACATTTTTTGATAATACTCTGACATCATAAATATATTGTTGTTTTAATTGTATTTGACGTCATATTGTGCACAGGATCCCATATCATTTCAATCGAATCCACTTCATAATATTTCATATTGACCGTTTTCTACTACGTAATGAACGGTGAATGAAATTAATAAAAAAATAAACATGCAGGCAATTGTGATCAATGAATGGAATATAAAGCCAATGCATTTGAACCTTTGGACTGTAATTTTGCGAGTGTGATTTGCAATTCCTGGCACATTATTTGTGATGTTTCCATGTGAACTTAAATCAAACTAAGGAATTTGTAAAAAGAAAAATCAGATCTAGATGAAAGAGATGTACACAAACACATACAAGTAACGAAAATCATTTTTGCTTCGAGTTCATTAAGATCAATGAATAAATTTTAATATGAAATTAAGCGGAATATCTTCGATCACTGAAAATTTACAATGCAATCTATGTAAATATGTGTATAATGAAATTCGTCGTATTCATTCGCGCGCCAATCACTTAGTACATACATTATTCATGATCATTTGAATAACACCGAACCGAGTGTGCGCACGAGATTTTGATGCAAAATCACCGACACACCATTGTGATGCAAATGCTATTTTGGCACATTTCAAAGTCCATTGAATGGAAATGATACACAACACAAATCATATTGGATTCAACGACATTCGCACACATTAAAAACGAATGACAAATACAATATCGATCAATTAGATTGAATTGTTTGTTCCAATAACAGCACAATTTCACTCTTGGTTTCGTTACAATTTTGTTTCAATTTCATTCACTTATCTCGCATGGGTGATCGTAGTTGAAGAATGTTGAGAATTTCAATTTTTTTTTTTTTGAATTTTTTTGAATCGATTATAACCTTGCCATTAATTATTTGGGCCATGGGTAGAGTGGGTACTTTCCTCAAAATGGAATGCAAATAAGGTCTTAATACGTCAAAATTGCAATTCCTTTCAAGAGCATAATTTCAAATCCGTTTTTAAAAGGGGGATTTGAACCACATTGTGCTCCTAGTCAAAAGAGTTAGTGTCCTTCGTTTGTGTCAGTGGTAGTTTCACCAAAATATACAAGATTTTTTATAAGAGAATCATTAAAAGAAAGAAGAATCGATCGGAAATGGTAAAAATGAGGAAGAAGAAACATCAACACAACAACAAAGACAAATGAATGGAAAAGGCTCACCTATACTATTTACAAAAATGCAAAAAAAAATTGCAGGTGTATATCAAACCTAACTAGATTGGTTTGCAAATTACCTTAACCGATCGCGCCTTATCGATTCTCAGTGGAACGCAATATAGTCAATTATTATATGTAAGCACACGACTTTTTTGTTATTAGTTTGAATAATGGATCAAATGAGTTGAATATTAATTAAAAACAAGCACGTTTCTGTAATTTATGTCTGAACAAAAACGGGTTTTTAAAATTCAAATTGGGGTTTAATTTGCATTGATTTTTCACTTTTCCTTTTTTTTTAAATAACGAAGAAGAAGCAGAATAAGAAGAAGAACATAAATCAATTAGAAAAATACTGAGCATGTCGTGTATAATCAGAGATAAATATTGAGCGCATATTACTGTATAATATATATAATACTATTAATATAATTATTCGTGTTGAACTTTGAAAACCGTTGTTTATGGCGTTCATGTGCAAAATGTCAATGGTCCTGTTTGCACTTTGCTCAACTAGCATTATCAAATGGTTTAGACACTCTTAGTGTACGTGTTTGTGGCCACGTGTAAATGGCGGCCACTAAGAAGAGCTTAACCGCCCAAATAAAATGCATAATAAATGAAAATTGTCGCGATTGACACGGTACGTAGAACACCACCATCCGACAAATTAATAATTGATAAAATGATTGTGATTACCAACAATGCATCGATTTGTGTGTGAGTGTGTTTTTTTTCATGGTCCCCGACCATAATCTCATTCATTCATTGAGTACATTCGCAATAGATTAGGAATACACGAAAATAAAAAAATGTGTACACGGTGTTTGGCATAGCCATGGCATATGTCGTACCGCTGCGTTCGTAAAGATACAATACTGATAGTGGTGATTCGATGTTATCTAGTTCATTTTCTTGCGACAGTGTTTTAATTCACTTTTTTGTTGTTGTTGTTTTTCTTCTCTTTTTCATTCGCGTCATTCAAATTTCAAGTTCAAATTCAATTTGTTGAGTGCTGAACATGAGATACGGCACGTCGTTTAAATTCCTTTTTTTAATGTTCTTACTGTTTATTTGCGTACATATACAACGGTTTCTTTGTATTATTCTACATTCGACGTAGTCGAATATAAAGAAAATACGTTCAACATTTCGTGAATCATTTTAAGCATTGTAGCACAAAAAAATCTCTGTTGGCGATTGCACACATTTCGAGATCGATGTTTAATCGTTGAAAAAGATTCGAATCAAAACAAGACAACAACATCATCTTCAAGTTATTAGCATATTGTAAATGACATGATGACAATAGAGCAAAATGCGCAAACGACATGATCGACACCGGTGTTAGCATATTTAGCTTAATTTTTGTGAGTATTATGTGTGAGTGTATGTGAGTGGGTTTTTTCCCTTCTAAAATATAAAATCGAAACGTATGGATATACAAAAAAAAAAGAAATAGCAAATAACCAAATATTACATTCGCACGACTTTTTCTGGCATACTTTAAAGTGAACTATGACGAATTAACACAATGAGGTGAAAGCACTGGTGAAACGAAATGGTAACGATCAAGATAGATGCATGTTATTGGCCCGTGATCTATGCAAAACAAAATCACAGACGAAAACACACACAAATTTGAGTTTCATGTATGTACATTGTTTTGCTTCAAAAGCTCACTGCCTTTCTCACTTGATCTCTCTTTCCCTCTCTGTCGAGATCGCTTCTTTCTTTCATTTGTTCTTTCTTTCTTTCTCCGGATGAAAATTCCATTTGTTCTCGCGATACATTCTTATCATTTTGAAATAGTTTTATCGTTTCGTTAGCTGTTTTACATTTTTTTTACATCACAATCACTGATGATAATGGAGAGAAACACATGGATCTCAAATGAAATGATAATTACAGAATGGATAGAAATCGAGATCGGATTGGAGTGTGTGCACGAGTACAGTATACATAAAATCGATACGGAGATGCGAGATGTAATTAAGTAGCCAAGAAAAAAAAAAGTATTGATTAACCTCATTTTAAATCGGTGTTTTTCCGTTGACAGTTTGTCTCTCACTCTATT